TGTGTGAACCGGTCATAAGTTCACATGGTAAGAATTAAAGATTTTCGAAACGGTCCAACCAATTTCATTTGAAAATGGCACACTTATTCAAGCGTTTTTTGCTCGTTTGGACACTGTTTCAACAAATTCCACTGCGTCTCTATGTGCATTCCGGCGCATGTCTACATCTACAAGGGACGGATGTTTGTACAAGCGCGAAGCAAAGCATTTCGCAGTCATATTCAAGCCTTTTGTTTTGCCGGCGACATAAAATGCTTGCAATGCATCTCCTTGAGAATTTTTGCCTAAGTGTTGCCACCATGTGTTACCTGGCTCACTGGGCAACTTTTCCCGGCTACGCTTCACATCGCGTTTGCGCACAGAAGGAACCTTTTTCTCCGTGTTCTGCAGGTGGTTCGTCTCCGAGACCGGAAAGACTGACATGCTCATTGCAGCATCAGCGATTCTTTTGGCTTGACAAGCGGCGTCAAACAGAAAGGTCTCCTCGTCCATCCAAAGGTTAGCAAAATCTGCCTTAGTTACCCATACAGCCCCGGAACTGAAGTCTTTTTGCTTAGAGAAAATTGAAAAACAAAGGGACAAGTCGCAGAGAGAAAGTCAGAGCCGTCCGCAGGCATGGAAGCGACCGAGGCCACCTGCATTGGAACCATGGCTGTAGAGGTCCTCATAGTTTCCGGCACCTGCAGTGACGGATAAGCAATATAATAGAAATTGGAAATTGTCCACGGGACAAAATAACGGAAACAGAAACGAGAAACTCTCATTTGTCGCCTTCTGAGACTCTGCGTGCGATGTGCTGTCCTGCGCATCAGAGACTAAGAATGTAGGACAGATGCAGCGACCCAGGCGAGCAAATGTTTCGTGCTGTGGAGTTGTCAACTTCTTTGCCAAAGTTTCCCAAGCGCTACGGCAAGTCACAAGTTCTCGTACCTTGGCCACCATTTGTCGAATCTTCATGAAGAAGAATACTACGGTTGCTTGAGGACTCACTTCTTTGTTCCACTGAAAAGGTTGTTCTGCATTCAAAGCGTGGAAGGCGTTGAGAAGCATAGCGTCCGGTAATAAACCATTGGAACATACGGACAACAAAGGCTTCAGTAAGTGTTCCAAATGCACATATGCACATGCATGCTTGCATGCGCTAGTCTTCCAATTCATGCCCTCTAGCATGGGTACTAGCAACAACAAGTTTCGGTGACCCAGCGCTTCGAAACCTTTCTGCAGGGCATCTTGCAGGGCGCGAACAGACACAGTGGGAAGAACTTTGAGTCGCTCCCTGCCCGCCATGAGAACGACGTGCATGCAGACCCTGCTCTAACAGAGCCAAGAATATGATGCACGTTCAAATGAAGTGCCAAGAAAAAGGAAATGCAATGTTTGGGGTGGAAAGAATAAAGACTTTGGAAACCGAAACCAAGAGCTAATTGCAAGGACATTGGAAAAATTGGAAACGGAAACGACCATTGAACGTAGCAATGAAACGAACATGGGAAACGCACTGCCTTTTGCAGCTCAATGCAAAATCTCAGCCAAATCCAACGTCAATGCTACATTATAACGTTCAATGAACTTGTGCAGTGATTGTAATAATCCACGACCTTTCAAACACGATTGCATGAGAATTTTGCACGTGGACATAAATGATTCGCCAGAATAACACCAAGTGTGCCTCGGGTTCACGTACTTGCTCAATTGTACTGCGTGCAATAACCAATGTTGTTTGAATGTACCACTTTGAAACAATTTGCGATCTTCAATGCGTTGGAAATGATTTTCTAACGCAACCACGCAAATACAATATTTGTTGGCGGCGTCACACAGGTTTCTATATGCTTCCGAAGGTACATGCCAACTGGAGTCATTGGCTTTCAAAAGCTCATCCATAGTGACTGAAGATTGTAAAGCTACCCGGACCCAAATGTGGACACGATTAGTCTCATCCATTTTTTGCAGCCACATTCGTAGAAACACCTTGTTGCATGCCTGGGCTTCTGCGGCTTTCACCTTTAATTTCGGATATCTTTTTTGACATTGTTTATCTTGAATATCCACGAACATTCCCACGGTCAAATGATTCAAGCCTGCTCGTTCGCCATGGGCGGACCAATTTGCCTAGGTTGCCAAATGTGGTAATGCAGCGAACGCCAAAGCCTCACATATGCACAAAACAAATGGATTTGCTACCGAGATACTTTCGCTTCATGCAAAAACGCATGCAAGCGTTGCTCCACGGGAAGGGCGTTCGGTAAAGCGAATATGAACAGCCACAGTACACTGCCTAATAGACGTAGGTCCGTTCCCAGATGCTTCGAATGCGTCCAATCAGGCGCAATACCTTGGACAGTCATCACAGTTGTGAACAGAGGTGACGCATGCGTGCGCGGTTCCCTCCAAGCTTCTGGCTCCAGCGACAGAGAATCGATTGTCGGCACTTTTTTTAAGTTTCGCAATGTAACCGAACATAAACTGCACGGTGACAGTGAATTCCACCGTGCAATTTGATGAAAGTCGGAGAAATATTCGAGATCTCCAGTCGTCCATACTGGTACTGGGAAGAAGCCACCCGTGCATTGCAAATTAAATAATTTCGCAAAGGATTTTGACACCAGATTGAAAATGCTTTTGGCAGTGTTGAAACTCTTGCTTTTGCCACACGCGCTTGTCCATACGGCAGCCATCAAAAAGTGCTTCGGAGTGCTGGCAGTCAATGACCGAAACGAAAGAAACAGGCAACTCTTCGAATTCGAGCCAAGTTGCAACGTGACAGCTGCACCATCGCCGTGCAGCACGACTGGCACAGCTCTGTGCTGATAATTTGGAATTCGTTTCACTGGATGCTTCAATAGCCCCGGATGCTGTCCACAAGATGCCCAAAACCGAGGCAACATATTGGCGTCTTCCAAAGTATACGTTTTGAAGTAAGATGAATTCCACAAGCGATGCCAGATCATTTCAGGCAAGAGCATTGGAAGTCTGAAATACGCTGTGCGGGTTGCCACGCCTTTGCCCATTGATATTTGCAATGGCACTGCGTGCTGAGAAACCTGAGCAAGTGGAAGCATATACTGCACTAAAATATTACAAGATAGGAAATGTTAAGGTAAGGAAACACAGAGTCGAATCCGTCCAAGATGCCTCTAAGAATGGTTTCGGTAACTGCCGCAAAAGATCTCTCTGAATATTTTGCGCATGCAGTCCAGAGCTGCCCAGTTTACTCAAATTTTGCCATTCATTGATTCGCAACCCATAGGCTGCATTCAAATCAGTTTGTGCTGCATGGGCAATCTTTTGAACAAGAGTCGCAGGTATAGTACCCCATCTCCAAAGCTGCAGAAGCAACCTTCGAAGTTCAGACTTTTGATTACGTTGCGCAAAAAAACTTTCTTCGAACGCTTTAGCTTGGTTGCTGCCACCACCATAGCTTTTCGCAAATGCGCGCAATTCATCCATGTATATGCCGTCTTTTGCTGACATGCATCCATGTGTGTAAACAAAATAAAATATTGCATAAATTATTTGCTTGTGCCATGTTCCACGTTAGCATGTTATATCAAAACTAAATTCATGTATCAAACCGATTGTAAAAAATGGTTTTACTTTATTTGATTTTGTTAATGGATTGGATGTAAAAACATCATCACCGTTTATATACATGCTTTGGAAGCTAAAGATGTGTTTGCGGTAACACAGGTTTATCAATTCTTTGAGACAACAGACACATTAAAGAAAGGAAAGACATGATATAACATTGGAGACGGGACAGTGGAAACTGGAAAATGGAAAATCAAAATGGAAAGCGAAATTAAACAATGGACATACCACTTTTTTTTCTCGAGAACCTCCCGGCGCGCCAATCATTTCTCCAAATCTCGTTGGCTTATGGTGTCTCCACTCAATCACGGGATTCTTCTCGACGACGTTTCCTGATATGGTTTGAAAAAACATTAAAAAAATGGGATGGAAAACATATAGAGTTAAAATGAAAAACAAGAAATTATATATAATTTATAATTTTGAATTAGAAGTTTATTTGAAACTTTTAAATTTACATTAGAAACTTCAAAGATACTTTTAGAAGTTTCAAAATTTGTATTCGAAATTTCAAATGTTGAATTTGAAATTTCTACTATCTATATTAAAAATTTCTAATGCAATTATAGTATTTCAGTAATAACATTAGAAACTTTGAATATACATATTGGAAGTTTAGAAACTTCAAAGGAAGAATTATATTATATTCGAAATTTCAAATAACTTTATATAACATATTTGAAGTTTCAATACAAACTTCAAATATACTATTAGAAGTTTCTAAGAAATTTCAAAGTATACATTAGAAGTTTCATAGAAACTTCTAAACTAAAAATTGAAATTTCTAAGAAATTTCAAAGAAACTTCTAATGTTTATTTGAGATACATATATATTTAATACATTTTACAGTTGTCCCACTAATTATTTGGACAATAGATTTGCAAAATAGACACCCCCGCCAAAAAAAAACAATATATAATATATATAGTTAATGTAGGACAAGCATCTGCCTGTTCTCGATTATTTGGACGCATGTCTGCAATGCCCTTGCTGCCACCGTCAGTTGCACGGCTACATCGTCCAAAGCTCGTGCCACATCGTAAGTCCTGTTTCACACGTGTACACATGGAAAAAAACTTCAAGCAAGCTGGTGTCTCAAGGAATGATAGCAGAGATGAAGAAGTCCTCTCAGTTCTTCTTCCCTTCTTCTTGCTTCTCTTCCTGCGTAAGGATGGGAATAGCTTGGATCGGAATTCCAAACAAAAAGATCCCATGGAAATAGACATATCAATGGATAGGTTTGCCTTGGAGTCCTGGGAGGACTTCGAGTAGGGCTTCTGGTGCGTGTGCGTGTCCTGCTGTCAAAGAGACATGTGCATGGCAACACTGAAATTGGAAAAATGAAACTGAAACTTCAACATGGAAAATATATTCCAGCCTGTCGCGATGAGGATGTTTCACTGCACCATCAGCTTGGTCCTGAATTGTGAAAGTGCAGACAATGAGATTGAGGAAGGAAACTTGAAACAATATACCGGTCCTTGGCTGCATCTGCCTCTTCCCGTGCAGCTGTGATGAGGTAGTTGCTTTCAGCATCGTCTTCCTTGCCAACAGATTGCATTGGATTCTCGAAGGTGACGCCATGATCCGGTGGAGCTTGACCAACTGGTTCCCCTGGAGGTGGCACACTGACACCAGGCTTTCCAGCTGCAGGTGTCTCCGAAGAAGGTTGAGCTGCAGCGACTGTGGAGAGAAGCTTATCCTTCTGACCCTCCTGTGTCGCCTGCTGCAGCAAGGCCTGTAGAGCCATGAGTTCTGGCTGCCCAGGTCGAGGTGCCACCGTTAAGGCTCCGCGTGCTTCCTGATATGCGTTGTATGAGCACAAAAATCGATGACAGACGAAACAATGAAAATGATATGCAACTTTGAAAAGAAAACAGTCCTCACAGGGACCCTTTCGCTTGCCGGTGTAGATCCCCTGCACATGTAGCTGGTCATAGTAATACCATGCCCAAGCCAGAGATGTCGTCTTCAGAATGGCGAAACCTCCGTTCTGAAAATTATGGTTCCGGAACTCAACCGGTCCATGTTTCCAAGCTTCATAGATCATCTCGAACGTGCCCGCAGGAGCATTCTGACCGCCCATCCAAACCTTGCTGGTCAACCAGGTCAAACAAGGGAAAACAAAAAACGGAATGAATATGTCATCGGCCAAGAAACCACGTAGGTCTTGGGCTTTTCCTCGTTCGCCGAGGGCGTCTCCATGGCACCGCTGGAATTAGACGCGGACATTCCCATCTGAGAACCGCTGATGGAAGCCGAAGAACAACAGGAAACAAGAAATCTTAGAAATCAATTAACAATGACAACTCGCATTGACACAATGTAGAGTACATCCTGGTTTCCAGGGAGATTATGTTATGCCCTGGTTTCCAGGGATTATATTGTATGCCCTGGTTTCCAGGGATATTATGTTCTGCCCTGGTTTCCAGGGATTATATTCTATGCCCTGGTTTCCAGGGAGAACTATTAGGATCATTAGTACATCCTGTTTTCCAGGGATATTATGTTATGCCCTGGTTTCCAGGGATTATATTGTATGCCCTGGTTTCCAGGGAGAACTATTATTATCATTAGTACATCCTGGTTTCCAGGGATATTATGTTATGCCCTGGTTTCCAGGGATTATATTGTATGCCCGAAACTGGAAATTTCACATTGGAGGCTTGAAACCGGACATTGGATACTAGAAACTGCACATGGGAAACTGGAAACAGGAAATTGGAAACTAGAAATGTGACATTGGAAATTTGAAACCCAACATTGCAAACAGGAAACAGGACATTGGAAACCGGAAACGGGAAATAGGAAACTGGAAATTGAACATTGAAAACTTGAAACAGGATTTTGGATACTACAAACAAGACATTGGAAACTGGAAACGGGACATTGGAAACAGGAAACGGGACATTGGAAACAGGAAATGTAACATTGGCCCTTTGAAACCGAACATTGAAAACAGGAAACAGGACATTGGAAATTGGAAATTAGATATTGGAAACTATAGATTGAACATTAGAAACTGGAAAATGGACAAAATAAATCAAAAAGTTGAGATTTAAAATTGGACACTAGAAATTTGAAAATGGAAAATAGACATGGGAACTTCGAAAACGTAATGCCGTGGAAACCATTTTTTTTATCCTCAAGCTCTTCAACGGTATCACTTTGCTTTCCGTAGGGTGTCAAAATTGTCTGATGACACTTCAGACTGTCACGGAGACAAACTCGACGTGACGATAGATCCGCAAGAGCTTAGCCCATAGCACTCAAAGCGCGAAGACATTCTTGAAGTTCCACCAAGCCATTGGCCATGCTACCCAAGTGTTGCTTGACTTCACCCATGTCGCCATATCCCACCATCTTGTAGTGCTCCAACTTTGTCTGCAGAGTGAACAGCTTATCCGTCAAGTCCACTAAGTTTTGGCGTAGCTGCATGGCCGCACTGCTGCTCGCTGATGTGGTAAACTGTTTGCGAGCTGCTTACGCGCCTTTGCCCACCAGGCCAACGCTTCATCCAACTTGCCCAAGACCTGTGGCGAAATCTGCGTGGGTCCGCTAATTTGCAAGTTCAGAGCTCCGGCACCGTTCGAAGCACTGGGCAAGGACATGGATAAGGCAGGCGTGGTAGCGTTACCCAAGATTTGCAAAGTCGGAGCCGGCGCATTGGCATATGTGTCTTCACCTATTAGTGCTGGATGTCATCGACGTACATATACCGATGACGGGAAAAAAGAAAAAGAACAAAAGCAGGTGATGATAAAACACAAAATCAAAAGAGGTTTTTTTCAAATGAGTTGCCCAAAGTCGGCTTGTAGTTATCCACGAACAAGGCCATGGACTGCACGGCAGCATCGCTTGCTTCCACCGTGGATTCAGCCTTGACTTGGCTGGCCGCTTCTCTGGCTCGTGTGATTTTCACCGTGTTCCAGACGTAGTAAACACGTCCGCCTTGCGTGCACTCAGTCACCTCTCCTGCTTGCATAGCTTTTTCCAAGTTGGCCTCTGACCCCAATTTGCTGACCATCAAAGACCGCGGCAAACCTTTGGCTGTCTGTTCCCCAGTGGTTTTTTCTGTGAATGTACACAAGGAACGCAACACCTGGGAAGTCATGTCGAACTGGTACGAACCAGCCTGGCTTCTCTGCACGGCAGCGTTGACGAGTTCAGTTTTCTGTTCTCGATTCAAGTCCTTGCCTTGAAACGCTTTTTGGACCTGAGGCATGTCGAAGAAGTGCGACAGAGCAACTTGGAAAAGGAAACATGTGAAATAGAATGAGAATGAAACGGATGAAAATGAAACATAATCTTGCCTCTTCTGGCAGCTGCTGGAAGTTGCGGTGGAAGTAGTAAGCCTTACCCTTGTCTCTCGTGAGCTTGTCGCTTGTCTCAACCTCCGCAGGCTTCTGCGCACTTTCGTCCGCAACCTTCGGCTCATCGAGCTTCAACTTCTTGGCTTTCAGTTCGTCTTTGGCTTTAGCCGTATTTTTAACCTTCTTAGCTGCATCCTCAGGCTCCGTTTTGTCTTCGGCATTGCCATCCTCGGACTGATTTGCAAGGTCCACCTGACATGCTGGTCTCTTCAACCTCTTCGCCTGCGGTTTCGACTTGGCCTTCGGTTGTGTCGTCTTGCTCGCAGGCCTCTTCATTGGCTGCGTCTTAACCTTGTCCACGTGTTCTTGGGTCAAAGCGACCTCTTCGGCCACGGCTTCAGCCGCTTGTAAAGCTGCTTGTTCCGCTTGCGAAGGAGAAGTCTTCGAAGGAGAGGACATATCACCAAGGCGTTCTTTCCCCGTTTGCGAAGCTTGAGCCCACTTCGGAATCACACACCGAGACCGGAAACGTGACGTTTGGTTTGAAACTGCCATAGACAACAAACACAGGAACCCAGAAACAGGAAACGAAAACGGCTAAATCGAAACAAACAGCCGAAAATTGGACAAGGACACTGAAACAGAAACGCAGAAAGGCTAAAAACTCACCTGGAATCCCACTTTTTCTCCGTCGAGCCGAGCCAAGCTAGATCACACCTACGTCTCGTCGTTGTCCAGAAACATGCGAGCTGCGGTCAGAAGATTGTAGTATTCTCCACGGTCGGGTGTCTCATCGTTTGGCAATTTACTCTTCATGTCTTTCACCATTCCATGCACTGGCATTTCCTCCTTTTTGAGGTCATTCTTTACCATGTAGTCTTCCAAGGCGGTTAATGCCTTTGCCAGTGCTTCGCCCATCTTGCCTTTCCAAATTTGTAACTGCTCTGCCGTCAACTTCTTGGGCGAAGCGTCCGAGTCGCCTTCTCCATCAGACTCATCTGACAAAAACTCATCCAACAAAAACGGACAAGGTTCCATTTGCACACGGCTTTCAGCTTCTGGCTCCGTCTCAACTTCGCCATCGGGCTTCACGGTCCCAGCGACACCGTGAAACAACATTTTACAAATCCTAGACTTCGGTGATGCACCTTTGCAACGCTTTCCAATTGCATTCTTGAACCACAAACACACCGACGGGAGTTCAAACAATCCTTCGAAACAAAAAAGGAAACTGGACATGGCAATCAAACATGTCAGCCAAAATACACCAAAAAAACTTGATCCTGTTCCTCCAAACCGCAATATTTCAAGTCATTTTACCTAGTTCAAATCTTGTTTACTTGCTATGATAGCCTATTCAAGTTTTCATGATAACCCTGATAAAGATTATCATGATTTCATGATAACCTAAGCTATAGCCTGTTTATTAATAACCTAAGAAGAGCCTTGGGGTAACTATGGGGGCTGCGGCTAAGGGCCGCTCCAGTTCCAAGGCGCTGAGCCGCATTTTGCGGACTTCTTTGGGGTATGTGCTGGGCGGCGGTCTGTACCCTGGCTGCATTCACTGCCGGTCTCCTTGGAACAAAGCCGATGCTCCTTCACGAGATAGAGCAGTGGAGCAACAGACCCGTAGTTTTCCTCTCTGGTTGCAGAAGCTGCAGCAAGGAGATGCAAGGCGTTTTGACATTATGGTTTCAAGCAGTTTTTGGCGGAGACCTCTGGGGCGTTGGGTGCGTTTATTACTCCTTTTAGCAGGTGACATTGAGCGGAACCCTGGTCCTAACTTTCAACAAGGTGCATATTTTCCCAGGGGTGAGCTGAACATGTCTGTCGGGTTTTCACAGGCGACTGTGCAGCGGATGTCACGCTGCCTGGAGGCTTTCGAAGCCTGGACGAAGGACAAACTGGGGTTGACTTTGAATGAGGCAATGGCCACCGCGGAGATGGCCGACCTTGCTCTGCGTGGCTATGGTCGTTTCTGTTTTTCTGAGGGTAGACCTCGCTACTGGTTGGTCTATGCGATTACTGGCGTGGTGCACCAGTATCCTGGTTATAGGAATTTGCTACATGGAGCTTGGCAGATTGATCGAAAGTGGCAGCTGGAGGAACCTGGCCAATGCCGCGCTGTACTTTCTGCGCCCCTCGTCAGAGCCATCATCGCTGTTGCATTGCTCTGGGAATGGCGCTCCTTTGCTAGCATAGTTGCTTTAGGTTTTGCCGGGATGCTTCACCCAAATGAGTTTGTCCATTTAGTCCGTAGTGATCTTGTGTTTCCCCAAGATACTTTAGAGCTTCGTGAATGCATGTATGTTCATATTCGAAACCCAAAAACTGCTCGGTTTGCTCGGCGCCAACACGTGCGTATTGACGATACCACTGTCATTAGTTTGGTTCAGCGAGTATTTGGACACTTGCAGATGCAAAGTCGATTGTTTGATGCTTCCATGGCAGTGTTCCGGCGGCAATGGAATTCTGTCCTGGATCTTTTAGAAGTGCCTCGACGCCAAGCTTTGCGTGGTGCTACCCCTGGAACCCTGCGGGGCTCTGGTGCTACGCATTTGTACCTGGCTGACATGGATTTGAGCAAAATCGCTTGGAAGGGTCGTTGGTCAAAGTTGAGAACTCTGGAGTACTACATCCAGGAGGTTGGAGCCCAGCTCTTTTTGCATCAGCTTCCAGTATCTGCAAAGTACCGAATTACTGAACTGAGTGCTAACATTGATGTGATCGTGGCTAGTGTTTGAAATGTGCAAGCAGAATGAAAAGGGTGGAAAGAGCTTCTTCTTTTGCAAATCACTATTTCTCCGGAGAGAACCAGGTGTTGTGATCGAAGCTGCTTAAGGCCAAAATTGGGCCAGTGCTGTGGCAATGGCCACTGGAGGGCAACTTAGAAAAGAGGCGTGAAAAAATTGGTGATGGAACTATCACATGTGCATGGAAGCGTCTTTGTCCTCAAGCATCTTTCTGGCCCACATGCCGCCCACCCTGGAAAGAGCTTCTTCTTTTGCAAATCACTATTTCTCCGGAGAGAACCAGGTGTTGTGATCGAAGCTGCTTAAGGCCAAAATTGGGCCAGTGCTGTGGCAATGGCCACTGGAGGGCAACTTAGAAAAGAGGCGTGAAAAAACTGGTGATATATATATATATATAATTACATACATCTATATGATATAGTATAGAGAAACTTTATAGTATATACAAGTTTTGTTTACATAGCATCTTGGATTCAGAGTTCAACATAGATCCTGTTTTGACTGCTCAGCTTCAAAGTTTCGCGCAACTTCTCCAGTCTTTCACACTTTGATAGAGTTCTTAAAATGCCCACAAGCAGATGCAGGCTTTTGGCTACTTGATGTTTTTTAGCTTGGACAAGTGATTGGCAGCACTCTCAAACTCTATAGTTGTGCAGTCCTGGTACAAAAGGTTGGTATTGGAGTTGCCAACCACTTACTAAGTGACTTTCCAGCAAATCCCTGGAGGTACCTTTACCCTGCATATATAATCAGGATGAATCAGGTATAGATGATTCCAGCACATTCCCGCGGAAGGATTACCGATCACCCTTTCCTCATCGCCTATCAATTGCCTTCGGAAATGATCCGCATCAATTCCCATCCTTCCATTCAGCTGGTGGTTCTTCTCGTCACTTGATATCCCCCATCAATTTCCTATAGAATCTGTAGTTCCCTCAAACCAATCCGTTCACGAACGAGCTATCCTCATTCTTTGTGGCAAAGCTTGAGTTTTTAATTTTTACCTGTTTAACCCAATCTTTCATGACCGACTTGCAGCAACTTTCTCCTGTCAACGTCCAAATTCTGATTCCAACACCCAAATTTTATCGACGTCTCCCCAGCAACCTCCGACCCAGGTGACCAAGTATTCCTGCGCCCAAGATTTCTTCGAACGCTCCGTGCAGGAGCTGCAAAGAACGGCCCGGTCCCACGGCTCCCGAAACACCTCCAGCGGGCGGCGGAAGAACGCGGCGAAGTCGGGCTTGGCCTTACAGAATCCGGACGCTTTTCATGGCAATGGAGGTGGAGGGCTGAGGATTGATTTGGGGAGCAGGATGATCCTGGCAAAAAAAACGCGCAGAAAGAGTCAAGAAGATGGGTTGATAGATGTTAATAGCCCCAAAGTTGAGTGTTTTGAAACATTTTTTGTGTGGACAAACTGAGGGACAAGGTGCGATGATGATTTGAGGGATAGAAAACTCAGAAAGGATGTAAGATCGGATGCGGAAGCAGCTAAGATATTTGAAGATATGTTGATTTCCCCCGTCTCATGGAATGCCTGTAGATATACTATTTATTATAGTGGTGGCTATTTTTTCTTCTTCCAATCCAGCTGGTCATGGACCCATATTTAGAATTTAGAATGCTTCATATGGCAAACAGCCAACAGGGAGCAGAACTTGGATGCCGTTCCTAGCGTGATCCATGAAAATAATTACACTATAAAATTAAATAAAGTTTTAGCAATGTTGTGAACTAGTAGTCACTGGCAAAATCGCTTGTTTCGCTGATGAATGAGTTACATAACTCTAGCCAGAGATCACATCACACCCTACAAATAATGCAATTATTGTGCGGGGTGTTTGAGGTTAGCCATGATTTTGCGAACCAGTTACTGACTTACTGATACTGTACTGACTCAATGCTTGTCCAAATTAAGTCTCTAAACAACTCTTAGTGGGGGTGCAGAGCCTTTGGTCAAACATAGCCATGGCCATGGAAAAACATTCATTCATTTCGATGATTTCCCATTAGCGGCTCCATTTAGGGCATGTTCCATTGCAAAACTCTGGTGAAAATCGCTCATTTGTGAACAATTTTCCGACTTGGAATTTCCAGGTTTGTGCACGGGAGGGTGCCCAGTATAGCTTCAAACTCAGGGTTTGAAATCACCGGAAATCCGCAAGGTTGAGAGTTGCATCCTTGAGCATGGCTGATGGTTGAACATGGTTGCTTGATGTTGCTTAATTTGTTGGCGGTTGTACATCTTGACATCTCCTCTTGGAACAGTATCCAGTTCCGCTGACATTCTCAGATTTTGAGTCACCCAAAGCCACCGATTCCGAATTCAGCATAAGCTGAAGTCGCCTGCCTTCAGGAAGGTCTACTTCTTTATGTTCTTGAGAGCCTTGACAGTGCCCTGGACATGTCTAGCGACACTGGTTCTAAAATCGCCAATTTGCTGAGATTAAACTAGCTGCAAATTGATTTCAAGATATTTCAATGGCCTCCTAAAGTCGATTCGTCATTTCGCAATTTCATGGAATTTGGCGTTGCTTCTATTATCTTCTATTCCTAATTTATTGCGAGCGACGACCTCTAGTGGCCCTTTGTGCTTTCGTCCGCCACTTGAATAGCGAAAAGGGAAAAGAGGACGCGGTTCCCTGTTCTGTTTTTTTTTCCATGCCCATTTGAGATCATGCAGCTGGATAATTAATGATAATTATACCAACATATACCAGCCTAAAACAACATGATGCGTGAACGCTGTTTTTGATTTGCTTTAAATTTGAAGAAACGGCCAGACACAGTCGGAAAGTTTCATACAATTGTGATTCGCATCACCCTAAGGCATGGAATCATGGTTGGCTGTAAACTCAACATATTCAGTAGGTACGGCATTATAACTTTCCTTAATCAGTTTGGGGATGTTTCGGGTATACATTGCTACGAAGACAATATTGCAAATTTCTACAGGTCCAATTTGGTCTCCCACCTCCACAGTCCTCAACTCTCGATAAACAGAAGCATATCCACTCGACTTCATACAGAAGCCATACATTAACAATTACATATACATTTACTGTATATACACAAATTATATCAACAATCATAATCATATACAGTAGAATATGCAGAAATCTTATCCTTTCACCTATTCAACGAAAACAAGAACAACATAAATCTCCCCAGGTGGTGACATCCCCTACCACCGCATTTGCGACCTGCGCTTGCGGCACTGGGCGCAGCTGGTCCGCGACCTGTCCGGCGAGTGAGAGAAAAAGTGCGCAAGCGCCAGCGAGGCACGAGCGCTTGCGGGCGCAACTTAATAAACATACAGAAAACATCAAAAAAACCTTTGGAAAATGACCATTGATAGTGAATTTACCCAGCTATAACATGGTGATTTTCTATAGTTATGTTAAATTACCAGAGGGTATTGTGCTAGGGAAAGGAACTCCATCGTAACTAGGTAAACATACAAAAAAGTTGGAACATCACCATTTTTCATGGGTAAATCAACTATTTCCATGGCCATGTTCAATAGCTATGTTAGTTTACCAGATGATAACAATGACACCAACATAATAAGGTTGATAAGGGATGAGAGTTAAGAATCATTATGTCACATGTTGTTCAAAATTGATGATAGATATATGCTTCCAACAAAAAAGCACATGTTTTAGGAGTTAAATAAAGATTGGAAGCAATGGCAATAGGTTATGACGATTCATACCTAATAAGGATGTGTGGTTTTATGGAAAACTGGACATGTGTTGACAATGATGGGACACTAGGGTTGTTTTGATAAATCAAAAGGCATACTGAACGACCTTTGAACGACCTTTAAAATAAAACACAAAGTGTTGCAGAAAAACAGACAGTACGATTTTTTGTGGGTTCATGACGTACTACGTAGATGGTTCATTCCCAACGGCAGTGCTGTTTGGGTTTTAATCTCTGGGTTTGAAAGTGGCAAGCGTTTGCCGTGGCTGAGAAGCAGAATGGAACCCTGGAACCCTAGAAGCGTGGAACCCTGAAACACTGTGGATTGCCAAGCTGATTCCAGCTGCGATTATATGTTGCAATGTCGAACTCCGTGTTGGTATTGTGGATGGGCCAGCGAAATCCTGCATCACCTTAAGGATGGTTGAAACATGTTGAAACCCTATAAATAATGGAATCAACCACCTATCAACTGGTGCAGGATTTCTTCCATCCACGCTGCAAGATATGGATTTCGCAGAAGCTGGATGGACATCCAGATTCTACAAGGTGGTCTTCCCCAGTTCTAAACGGCTTATCCAAGGAAAACTGGAAAAATCCCCCCTGTGATTTTCCTTCAGAAACACAGCTAGCTCGGCGTGTCTGGCACCGCTCCTCGCTCCCTGAGGAAGCAGCAGTGCATCCATCCATGAGTTTGATGGAGCTGCTCCAACGAGATTATGAGCTACCTTGGATAGGCCGGATAAACCCCGAGCCCCGGCACATGGAACAGCCATGCAGCCATAAAAAAATCGCCCCCATGGCTTCCACCATGGGTTTTTCTGAAAAAAAATCGCAGAAAAACCGCCATTTCCTGAGAAAATCTGAGAAATGGATAGAAAAGACATGAAGTTCATAAAGTTGTTGCACTGTTTTTTTTTTGCTTATGGTCCGCTCTTTGAACAATGTGGAAGATGGCAGCAATTAGACGAAACTACCAATCAGACGGAGCGCCTGTCCGCACTGGGTAGGGTTTATAATAGATACGATCGACAAATCAAAGCAACACTTATGAGTTCAAGTTCCATTCAAGATATATTGTACATATCTACTTTGTTTTTCTCAACAAACCAGACATATCCATCTTACAGAATGGTTCGAATCATGGGTGGCCCACGTTGTATTGAACAACCTGGCGCTGTACATGTAGGCTGCAACGTGCATTTCATCGTGGGTTTGATGGCTTTTGCCTCACTCCTGGTGAGTTATGCCTATGATCCTTGGCCATTTGGGATGGATGTGCGGATGTCATCGATGTTGATTCACTGTGATCCAATATTTCGGGAGATTGCTAGGAACAGGTTTTAGCCTCTGGATAAACATACAAAAAACGATGGAACATCATCATTTTTAGTGGGAAAACTCGCTATTTCTATGGCCATGTTCAATAGCAAACTGTTAGTTTACCAGAGGGTATGTTTTGGGGCGCAAGATTTCAGCATGAAAGTTCTTCACCGAGTCGGGATCCGAATGTGAGCCTTCCACGTCCAGTGGATTGCCAGGTCGTTATTGCTGTCCTGCGTTGAGTGTGATTGTCTATAATTGTTCATGTTTAACTGTTTTGCATCTTTGCTGATGATATATGCCTTCAATTTCTTCCTATCATATTAGTGTACCAGATTCTTTACGTGCCTTCTCGGTAACCAATGACTTTTGTCCGTTTTGGTTGAGTTATTTCCATCATTTGAGTATGAGTGGACTCCAGTGGACCCTGAAATCCACAGATCTCGGTCACTATTTCCTCTTTTTGTACCCAATGTTTGACCACTCATGTGGTATTAGCTTAAAGATTAGCTTAACCAACTGTCCCAGAAACTTGGCATTTCCTTGTTTTTTAGTAGCGCCTTTCATCAATTCCTTGGGCTGTGTAATTGAGGCTCCCATATTTTAGTAGCAAAGTCTCACTATTTCGGGGGAAGGTTTAATTTATCAACTGGGGCTTATTGATCCGGTGTTGTTCAGTAGTTATATTAAGATTAGTTCGTGAATTTCACATGTCCACCATCCGGAGCCAATTTTGTGCCGATGCCCCTCAGTGCTCCATCCTTTCCCATCCTTTCCAAAAGAATCCAAACCATTCCAACAGATACGTTAAATCGGTGTCCATTACAGCACGAGAAATCATTTGGAGGTCCATGAAAGTATCCATGTATAGTAACCAAAAAGAATGCCCAAAAGCAATAAGTTACTTGTCTGTTTGTTTGATGTTATTACTTGTAAATCCCAGAGAAAAGATAGAACACTCAGTCTTTGGATGTTTTTACGAGATAGACATACTGCAGTACTACAGTACGATAGGATTTCCCCAATGAATGGAATTACTATTGATGTAGATACCCAACATGGACTAAGTTGGGTGGATGGTTTACGTTGTTTTATGGATGAGGTCTCCTTCGGCGCTGTCCCTGGGCTTGTTGGTTGTGTGCCGGAGCCGGGGGATGACATCACTGCAATGATGGGAGATGGGGGGGAATCAACATGAATCAACCCCATACGGCATTCTGAGGTTTCTGAATTACTATAATTTGTACAAAAAAATAATTATATAATAATAATAATAATGAATACATATATATATATATATGTATATATACATATTATATTTGGTTTCACAAGTCTCGAAGTACTAGAAATCGCAGACATTTGAGGTTTCCCTCCCACATTTCTCACAACGGACCACCCGATCATCCGTTGGGAAAGCGATGGCAAGGTGAGCAAACCCATTGCTTGTGTGGTCTGCGCTGCCGAGTGTCGCCTGGTTTCGAGTGTCGCCATGCTTCGGGGTCTCAAAAAATGACGCTATAGTGAAGATGTAAGGGTTGGAATGGTTACTTAAACAGACAGATATTGATTTATAAAAACCGCTGAAATCGCAATGTTTGATGGTGCACATGTAATTTTGCGACTGAATCACATGCGATTTTTGTTCTGGTGATCAAATTGTTTGTGGTTCAATTACCATAGTTCTTGGTTACGACACTTTTTGTGCGTGGATTAAAGATATGGGTATGGATCAATACGTATTAATACCATTTTTAGGGGGATGAACATCCATTTACCAGCTATTTTGATATCCACCAGGGGTACAAGGTTTTGACACACTGCCATATGTTTTTTCCGACTTGAACAAAAGTTCTGGTGGGTTCAAGCAAACTTGTCGGTGGTTAAACTCAAACTGTTTGGTACTTAAATCAACTTTGGCGACTTCACATGATGTGACCATATTTTTTCATATAGTCTCAATGATGGTTAGTGGGGAAACCATGCAAAGGGGCCCCAGGTTGTATTTGGTTTATACCCCACCTACCTACAGATATATCAACTATCATCCCCATGTAACCCAAGTGTAAACCTACTTCGCTAGCAACACTTTGTTCCGACATCACTGTAAATTTCAGCTCGGTCATCGCAATTCACACGGTTTGTCTTCAACATATGAGTAATTGCCATTCTTTATCCACTGGTGAAGCACCACCGTTCAAAATGGAGTGAACCACGATTTTTCCCATTATTCTCCCATATTGTCTGGTGCCTGACTATCTTTGACTTCCCCATACCCTCAGATTCCGTGAAGTCTCCCGAGGTTTGATGATCTCCGTAGTGAATGATGGGGTGGTGCAAGGTGATGGGCGAGAAGGTGTGGCTGCGATGCCGGGGATTTTTTCCATCTATACCTAGCTATGTTGGATGGGAAAAACCTAGGGAAAACAGGGTTTGGACACATCCCCATATTTTTGTTCTGGAAACATGAATGGGAAGTAAGCCAACAGATTTGGGGATAAAGGGCTTCCATCTATGTTGCGCTTCGAACGATCATCAGGAAAAAAAACAAGCCTTTTTGTGGTCAAAAAAAGGCCCAAATTGGCTTTCATCCTACATGGATGCGTTCATCCTAATCACTGGCATGAGGCTTCCCAATGACAAACTGCCATACTTGAAACTGGTGGGGGTGGTTTCACCACCCCAGCAGCAAGCGTAGAAGTGTACCCTCTGGTAAACTAACATAGCAATGGAAAATCACCATTTTTAATAGCTATGTTAAATTACCAGAGGGTACATCCCATGGTATCCCTAAGTGAAGCCCAGCCCAGGTGGTGTGCGTTTCGGCTGCAACCTCTTCTCATTGATCAAGCGCTATGGCTTCCTGCTGATCACACATGCTGTGCACCTCGGCCATGGGGTTTTAACAAAGGAAGGAGGTTCAGAAGGTCCCATAAAACGGTGGCAAATTGAAGCTGTTCAATAATTTGTGAGGGTTGCTATATGCAGTGTATGTATATATATATATATATACACATTATACTACATGTATACACAACGTACTGTGTATGTTATAAACACGCACTGTATACAAAGAACGAACTGCTTGTATGAACTCGTCTACAGCAAAGAACATGGTATTCGTCTACCGTTGCATCCTTGCTACTCACCAGTGGGTAAATTTGGGATTTTTGCATAGGGACTCCAAACCACCTTTACTAGTACACCTAACTAGTATCAGATGAGTGTGTCTTTTATAGAATTTATATATTTTTTTACATGTGTTTTTTCCACCTCTACTAGATGAGTGGCCCAAAGGGTACAAAGAGGAACTGTTTCACTTATAAGTCTATAAACCCAACTAGTACAGATATGTTTTTCAGATGTATAGACTATAGACATCCAACTTGACCCTTGTCTTCTTCGCTATCCAACTTGACCCATGAAAAAATCTGGTTTTTCCCAGCCACCAGGCATGGGCATCGCCTCACGTTGCTGGCATCCTTCTTCTTCCTCAGTTGGGTCACCCAGCCGGGGATCCATCACCGGGGGGGTTCTGAAATGATACCAGGTGGAGGTTAAAAAAAAACAAAAAGTGTAGTCATAGTCGCAGCTTAAAAATCCATGGGGAATGTGAGACTTAGAATTTCAGAAAAGCATATACACACATTGGGCTATAATTTAATGTTCAGCCACAATTTTTGTGTTCAACCACATATGTTATCACACAGTCAATGGTTACCATTTATATATTTCTCATGAAACATTGTGGTCGAACATGGTTTAACTCATGGTGAACGGCAAAAAAACACCACTGGAGATGGATCAGAACCGGCCCAGCCATGCCAGGCATAGCAAATCTCAGGATTTCATCGGCCAAGTCTCACCTGGAAACTCTCATGAAAACACTTGTGATATCTAGTGATTTCCTGGGTTTTTTTTAAGGTGACTTGTGAGTTTAACGGAACATTCACCAGAAATGGGGAATCTATAGTGAATATGTTTTAATTTTTTTGGGACCCCTTAAGCAAATCCACGATTCCACGGATTTTATAGCTGTTGGTGATTTTTTTTGAGGCTTCGCGTAAAACGAAGTGAGAGGATAAAATTGGGATTGGTTTTTGCCACCAGATGATGATTTCTTAATCAAACATGCTGATATGTTTGGTGTGCAGAATTGTCCCAACAGGGTCAGAGTTGCGATGTTTTCATGAGAACACAGATATTGGACTATTTATAGTGGATTTTACCTATGCTATTTTCAACAGTAAAGTTGATTTCCTCATCCCTCTTGTATTGGGGCTAGCATTTTTTCAGCCCAAATTGCTGGCTTAACCACCTTTATGGCTGCGCTGAATTCAACCCTGTGCCTCGCTGCTCTGTGGCCACTGAGTTCTAGCGGTCTTTTACCTTGTGCGCGTGCAACTGAAGAGATGAGGGATGTATATTAGCTGGAGCTGGTTGGCAGGTTCATGATGGTTCATGGGCAATTTGGATCTTTTGTTCTGCAATTTTGATGGAGGAACACCTATTTGGATATCCTGCGGAAAAATAATAATACCATCTGGTTATTTAACATAGCCATGGGAAATGGCCCATTTATAGAGGTTTACCTATTAAAAATGGTGATTTTCCATGGCTATGTTAAATAACCAGATGGTAAAACTTTTTGCAGGACATCAAGAAAAAGTAGTCATGGTGCTGCCAGTCCCAGCTTCAGCGGTCATATCCTTGGGCACTTTGAAGTCGGAATTTTAGCGGGCCTGGAAATCAACATTCTCCGGGCCCAACAGGGCCCAACAGGGCCCAACATCACAAAAAACTGTGATTTGTTCAAGGAGACAAAGCATCTTCCGGGTCTTCCGTTTCTTTTTTTGGAAGTTCCAATATTTTCCGGACAAAAAGCGCGCGCACAATCAAATTCTGAATAGCACCCGGATATGAATAGTGGAAGACATCCATTGACTTGCAGCAACCAAAAAACAGCTGACAAGATAATTTGGAATTGCTTCCAACAAATTAGCACAGATCATCCTAGATCCATTTGGAGTTTTTTCTAGCATTGAGGATTCACTACTCTAATCATTGGCAGAAAATGGACCACTATTGCAAGGGTTTTGGCGTATCCGTTCCCAAGGTTTGGAGTCACCCAATTCAGGTGTCGAAAGACTCATGCTCTGTTGTGATTGCTGAAAAAGAACAACAAGACCAGTCCTTGAATATCAGCCTTGCATAGTGAACCACTGGCCTTTGATGTTCCAAAGATCTTGAGACATGGATCAAACATATGTACATAATTGTACATATACACTGGCAAGAATGGTCGTTTACTTGCAGAACATGATCACCATTGGTGCGGCTCAGACCTCAGATTTTCCCATACCGACATGATTATCGACATGAATTCTATTTCTCTGGAACATGTTGCATATAGTATATAGATTGATGGTAAAGATGAACTCTAGTTGGTGATTTCACGCGCGTGTTTGCCAAAGCTCCAGACTAGGATGAAGATCCCAATTGACCAATTTCTTTGTGAGATGGATTGAAACCAGCAAGCAGAATGTTTGACAGAAAACATGTGATGTTTTGCCGGTCACAGTTCAAGACGTGTAATTTGTCCGGTCTGGCTTAGATCAGCGGATCTTGGAGCCGGCAGATAAGATTGATGTCCAGAACATGGGGTAAATGGAACAGAGATAATGTATGAAAATTGTGCGTCGTTCTTATTGATACCGTTCCATTCTCATTGGGGTCTTTCATGGACCCATGGATTTTTGAAGATTTTCTAGCATTCAAACATCATCAACATCCATTTTGTGCAGCCAAGAAGTTGGAACATGTTGGAACGATGATCCCGAAATTGACCCATCACCTGATGAAACGCCTTTGGGTCCAAAAAAACAGCCAGGAACGTCCATGGTGGTGCCCTGGGCTTCATTTTGGAGGTTTCCTAAGTCATGAAAATACCCAACATGGATGGTTGATGGAAAATCATGTTCAATCACTGGGGCTACCCCCATGACTTCAATGGTTATAGGCCCCCCGTGAAATCGATAGCGTTCAGTTGGGGTTCACATAACTCCAATGTCACTAGTTCGTGATTTGCGTACCATAAACAGTTATAAGATGTTATTTGCGTACCATAAACCAGTTCGTGACATTGGAGGTATGTGAACCCCAACTGAACGCTATCGATTTCACGGGGGCCTATAACCATTGCTATGGAAACATCTTGGCTGGACACCGCCATCGCATCATCGCATCCCGGGGAGATGGCCGGGTCGATGATGCACTTCAAAGTGAGGGCCTCACCGGAGCGACTGAACGCAAGTGTTTGGTAAAGGGCCATAGGGAATTTCTCCAGATTGGGGAAAATCCTACTCAAATGCTGTTGAATTTGACCTAAGTCCTATTTTTAAGGGTGGTAGTTAATATATGTTAATATGGAACAAAAGAGAAGCTAGCAAACTGAAAGCGTTGACTATGTTGGGTGTGTTTTTCCGTTGTTATCCTTTCTTCATTTTTTTTGCGCTCGGATTAGGATACTAGCTCTTAGGCCTTTGAGTATGGCATGGTTGGGGGGTAGGTATTGGCTACTCAGCTATTCGTGCTTGTGATGTTAGGAATGAAATGGCCGTGATGGCAAGTCATCCCATTATTTGATATAATATATATCCCTATGGATCCAGCATGATCCAGCCGTACCTTCTTAGGAAGTGGGACTGGGGTATAATTTGGAGGGTTAAGTACCTTCTCAGACAGTGTTTGGATATAATATATATATATATAATATATATATATATATATATAATATATATATATGTGTGTGTGTGCGTGTGTGTTAGGACTGCTTATTGGGGATTTCAATCGATTTTTTCGCATATCTCCTGGGATTCCGCTTATCTCCCAGCCATTTCTGTGGCCGAGGCACTGGGGAATCCTTTGCCGGCCGAGTTGAGCCTGGAGCCACAGTGACTTCCGAAAAACTGGATGGTTTCACCTTTTGATTTTTGCAGCCAGCAGGTCCGGCTGCAGCCAGCATCGCTTTTTGGTCCTAGGTGATATGGGGACCTTGCAGAAACATCCCAAATATCCCATGCTCGTTGGCTGTGACCGACACCGCATCATTGCTCTGGACTGCAGGAGAAACCTGGGAATATCGACGATATCGAGTGGGGCTAGTGGGGCTGGGCGGTAGGATGTCCAAAACGTGTTTGAACACAGATGGATGCGGTTGTAATAGCATGTACCCTATGGATCCCTACCAGCATGATTATATTTGACATACCTGTGAGAAATCATCATGCTCAATGGGGACACATAGGTAATTCATCCATAAATGAGCCTTTTTCATCCATGTCCTATGGCTACTGTATGTTAAATTACTGGAGGGTAACAGTCATATACATAGGAAGATCAAGCAACAATGCATTGTTTGTTTGCAGCTGCAATCCGAAGACCAGGACTGGTGCGCACCAGGTGCGAGGTGTGGAGATCCACGGGTTTGGAGATCCACTGGGTTGGAGATCCACGGCGTGGGGATCCACTGGTTTGGAGATCTACCGGTTTGGAGGTTCACTGGCTGGGAGATCGTCCTTGCGCAAGCCATGCTAAGTGTGTCATCCTAGCAGGTGGCCATGCTAATCTGCACAGGAAAACTTGTTACACTTCTCAGTTCCAGTGTTAAAAGCGTTTTACCTTCCACAGTTGCAGCAAGGGAAATGGACAGAACAGGAGATCAAAAAAGCACAACGGGAAAACACATCCTCAACACAATTCCTGACCCAATAAACCAATCCACTGGTTGTCGATCCACTGGTTTGGACCACTGGTTTCGGGATCCACTGGTTTGGAGACGGGCGGGGGTTCGCTTAGGGCGTAAATTTTGGCTCGCTTGGGGCGTAAATTTGGTCTTGCTTGAGGCGTAAAGTGGATACATCCCAACTGTGTTTTTCAGGCTCAGCGCAAGAGTCAGGATTACGGCGTGCCACAGTGAAACTGTGCAGGGCGTGTCTCCTTTAACTTTTCACGGCGTATCTAAAAGCAACTGTGCTCTTTGTGTCTCGTTCATTCTCTTCGTATGGGGTATGACAGAATGCAATAGTATATGTCAGTTCGAATGCTCATTGGAATGTCAGATAGAATGCGACAATATTGTATGTCAGATAGGATGTCCAAGGTGGGGATCACTCGAAGACAGCAATTTACATTGGAAAAAGGAAGGCAGAATAAAAGGCGACAGGAAAAGGCAGGGTGACGGATGATGACGATGTTGCTGCTCGGTTTTGATTGGTGTGGTTGGGGGTGTAGGCAGGCGCAGTATTGACTACGTATTTTTCATCTAAGCAGGCAAAACCTGTGCATCCGTTTCCATGGCAAGCGTGTCGTGGCCCTTCCTATATTAAGTGCAAAACCATACCAACCCTGAAGGTGTCGTGGCTCTCCTTACATTAAGTGCAACAACATACAAACCCTAAAGGTGCCGTGGCTCTTATTACATTAAGTGCAACAATATATAAACCCTAAAGGTGCCGTGGCTCTTCTTACATAAAGTGCAGGAACATATATAGCCTAAAGGTGTCGTGGCCCTTCTTACAGTCAGTGCAACAACATATAAACCCTAAAGGCGCCGTGGCCCTTCTTACATCAAGTGTAACAACATATAAACCCTAAAGGTGTCGTGGTTCTTCTTACATTAAGTGCAACAACATACAAACCCTAAAGGTGTCGTGGCTCTTCTTACATTAAGTGCAACAACATACAAACCCTAAAGGTGTCGTGGCTCTTCTTACACTAGTGTAACAACATATAAACCCTAAAGGTGTCGTGGCCCTTCTTACATTAAATGCAACAACATATAAGCCCTAAAGGTGTCGTGGCCCTTCTTACATTAAGTTCAACAACATAAAAACCCTAAAGGTGTCGTAGCTCTTCTTACATTAAGTGCAACAACATATAAAACCCCAAAGGTGTCGTGGTTCTTCTTACATTAAGTGCAACAACAGATAAACATATATAAACCCCAAAGGCGCTGTGACTCTTCTTACATTAAGTGTAACGGCATATAAACCCTGATGGTGTCGTGGCCCTTCCTATATTAAGTGCAACAACAAATAATCCCTGAAGGTGTCGTGGCCCTCCTTACATTAAGTGCAACAACATATAAACCCTAAAGGTGTCGTGGCTCTTCTTACATGAAGTGCAGGAACATATAAAGCCTAAAGGTGTCGTGGCCCTTCTTACATTCAGTGCAACAACATATAAACCCCAAAGGTGCCCTGGCTCCTCTTACATGAAGTGCAGGAACATATAAAGCCTAAAGTTGTCGTGGTTCTCCTTACATTAAGTGCAACAACATATAGACCCTGAAGGTGTCGTGGCTCCTCTTACATGAAGTGCAGGAACATATAAAGCCTAAAGGTGTCGTGGCCCTCCTTACATTAAGTGCAACAACATATAAACCCTAAAGGTGTCGTGGCTCTTCTTACATGAAGTGCAGGAACATATAAAGCCTAAAGGTGTCGTGGCCCTCCTTACATTAAGTGCAACAACATATAAACCCTAAAGGTGTCGTGGCTCTTCTTACATGAAGTGCAGGAACATATAAAGCCTAAAGGTGTCGTGGCCCTCCTTACATTAAATGCAACAACATATAAACCCTAAAGGTGTCGTGGCCTTCTTTACATTAAGCAACAACATAAAAACCCTAAAGGTGTCGTAGCTCTTCTTACATTAAGTGCAACAACATATAAAACCCAAGGTGTCGTGGTCTCTTACATGAAGTGCAGGAACATATAAAACCCCAAAGGCGCGTGCCCTCCTTACATTAAGTGTATAAACCCTAAAGGTGTGTGCGCCCCTCGTGGCCCTCCTTACATTAAGTGCAACAACATATAAACCCTAAAGGTGTCGTGGCTCTTCTTACATGAAGTGCAAAGGTGTCGTGGCCCTCCTTACATTAAGTGCATATAAAGCCTAAAGGTGTCGTGGCCCCTCCTGAAGTGCAGGAACATACAAAGGTGTCGTGGCCCTCCTTACATTAAGTGCAACAACATATAAACCCTAAAGGTGTCGTGGCTCTTCTTACATGAAGTGCAGGAACATATAAAGCCTAAAGGTGTCGTGGCCCTCCTTACATTAAGTGCAACAACATATAAACCCTAAAGGTGTCGTGGCTCTTCTTACATGAAGTGCAGGAACATATAAAGCCTAAAGGTGTCGTGGCCCTCCTTACATTAAGTGCAACAACATATAAACCCTAAAGGTGTCGTGGCTCTTCTTACATGAAATGCAGGAACATATAAAGCCTAAAGGTGTCGTGGCCCTCCTTACATTAAGTGCAACAACATATAAACCCTAAAGGTGTCGTGGCTCTTCTTACATGAAATGCAGGAACATATAAACCCCAAAGGTGTCGTGGCCCTCCTTACATTAAGTGCAACAACATATAAACCCTCAAGGTGTCGTGGCTCCTCTTACATGAAGTGCAGGAACATATAAACCCCAAAGGTGTCGTGGCCCTCCTTACATTAAGTGCAACAACATATAAACCCTAAAGGTGTCGTGGCTCTTCTTACATGAAATGCAGGAACATATAAAGCCTAAAGGTGTCGTGGCCCTCCTTACATTAAGTGCAACAACATATAAACCCTAAAGGTGTCGTGGCTCTTCTTACATGAAATGCAGGAACATATAAACCCCAAAGGTGTCGTGGCCCTCCTTACATTAAGTGCAACAACATATAAACCCTCAAGGTGTCGTGGCTCCTCTTACATGAAGTGCAGGAACATATAAACCCCAAAGGTGTCGTGGCCCTCCTTACATTAAGTGCAACAACATATAAACCCTAAAGGTGTCGCGGCTCTTCTTACATGAAATGCAGGAACATATAAAGCCTAAAGGTGTCGTGGCCTCCTTACATTAAGTGCAACAACATATAAACCCGAAAGGTGTCGTGGCTCTTCTTACATGAAACGCAGGAACATATAAACCCCAAAGGTGTCGTGGCCCTCCTTACATTAAGTGCAACAACATATAAACCCTCAAGGTGTCGTGGCTCCTCTTACATGAAGTGCAGGAACATATAAACCCCAAAGGTGTCGTGGCCCTCCTTACATTAAGTGCAACAACATATAAACCCTCAAGGTGTCGTGGCTCTTCTTACATGAAATGCAGGAACATATAAACCCCAAAGGTGTCGTGGCCCTCCTTACATTAAGTGCAACAACATATAAACCCTCAAAGTGCAGGAACATATAAACCCCAAAGGTGTCGTGGCCCTCCTTACATTAAGTGCAACAATGGTATGAAGTGCAGGAACATATAAACCCCAAAGGTGTCGTGGCCCTCCTTACATTAAGTGCAACAACATATAAACCCTAAAGGTGTCGTGGCTCCTCTTACATGAAGTGCAGGAACATATAAACCCCAAAGGTGTCGTGGCCCTCCTTACATTAAGTGCAACAACATATAAACCCTCAAGGTGTCGTGGCTCCTCTTACATGAAGTGCAGGAACATATAAACCCCAAAGGTGTCGTGGCCCTCCTTACATTAAGTGCAACAACATATAAACCCTAAAGGTGTCGTGGCTCCTCTTACATGAAGTGCAGGAACATATAAACCCCAAAGGTGTCGTGGCCCTCCTTACATTCAGTGTAAAAACCTATTTGCCTAAATTGTATAAAAGCGAGAGTCGTTCGTAAACACCCGACTCATTTCCATTGGTTGTATTGGTTGGGGTGGTGTCCCCATCATGATCCGTTGGTACAAGGGCCATACCATGTGACGCAACCACCTTGCAAACATGTTTTCAGTCGTGCTGTTTCTTGTAATTCAAAACCGGTCTGTTTTTTTATGGTTCAAAATTCGTATTTTTTTTGCATTCACCATCCAGTGTATCGAAATTTTGACCCGTTCAATATTGTTTGATGTGCCATCAATTTCCGGGTGTGCTGCAAATAGACCAAATTTCCCAGTTCTGATGAACCCGGGGCCAGGTCCTGCATGAAAGCAATTCGATTGTCAGGATATCCTGCTTGTGGCTTGGACCCGACGCAAGGCACCAGAACCATGCAAAACGAATCTCAAAAAGGTAACCCCCCGCACCAATCAATGGGCACACCATTTTCTATTAGGGGTTTTTATTATGGTTGAAACATGTTTTAATTTTAACTGCTAAATTACTCTGCTGTATATGTGTATTATATATTTTTGTGAAGTACAAGTTGATTTTCCAGGCGGATACCCTTGGTTTTTGGCCTTAGACACCCATGGTAGAACGATTAAAACCGTTTGCCTTTGTTCCTTCAATGTGATGATTAAAACGTGATGGCAATCATGATCGTGTCATTAAAATATGGTGTGTTTGTTAGATTGCAACATGTTTATTTTCATTCATGGTCGATTATTAATGGTCCAACAACATGGCTTTTCCTGTCGGGGCAATGCGGGGCGGCTCATGGCGATTGCGCGATTGCGGCAATCAGGTCTCCAACAAGTGGTGATATTATCTATAGCGTCATCAGGAACATGAACAATTTTGAGTCCCTTGGCACCAACGACTGTGCGATTTGTTCATATTTGTTCTGAGTTGTCCCATTGCAAAACTGGGCCACAATACATTTCAGAATGCCATATGAAGACTGTTTTGAAAATTTGCGAAGGCACTAACAGCTGAAACTGTGACAAAAAACTGCTGCAACACGTAATTGGCCCTGAAATTGTCGGAGTACAGTGACAGGGATGTTCTTCAGTTGCTTGTTCTCTCAGTGGGGTATAATACATATATTATATATTTATATACACATCATATGCAAGCAACTCAGATGCTACATAGCCAGCGTTCCCACGTTGAGTGGGATGATGGGTTGCCTAGAGCTGCCGGAAATGTGTGGTTCCTGGTTCCATATTGGGTGTTATAGCCACAGCTGAAACTGGCTAACTGAACCTGGATAGTTTCTTAGTAGAAATGGTTCATGTGGTGGCACTGTTGCTGCGAAAATTCATGGAAAGGAATCAAATCGTTACAGTTACTTAATGGGCTACCAGCACTTGTAACTGGGATATTGTGATACCATGTCTTAGCACAATATCCCAGTTACAAGTGGTTACCATGGGATATTTTCTGAACCACCACTGAATATGGTGATTTTTCAGGATTTTTCAGGCTCAAATCTCGGCTTTCCAGCCACCTTTAGGGGTCCATAAAATCCAGCCCGGCCCAGGGTTGGTGCAGATGAGCGAGAGCCACTCTGCCAGCAGTTCTGCCACAGCTTCTCTTGTCTTGTTTTGGTGTTTTGGTAAGGGAGCTAAAGTTGAGATAACGAGCATAAACATGGCCCAGCTGATAATTTATTATTTCAGATTTGTGTTTTGGTTCATTCCCTGGAAATTGGATCTACAATGTTTCAGGGGTGTTGAAACCAGTGATCAGCGTCGATTCCAAACTAACGGACTAACAAATTGGAGTAGCAAAGATGGAAATGCAACCAACCAAATTATGGCCTTTAACCAAGAGCGTGACTGAAGATCCAATCTGCAAAATGGAGAGGCTGCATATCGAATCATGTTTTGTCATGCGTATGTATATGTTCAAATCCCTGCCGACTTGTTTGTTTCTCTCAGGATGATGATTGCATCATGTTTTGGGGTTGTCGGAGTTGCTGTTCAGGTTTTTTCTTGATGTGTCCATTGTTCCTGCAACTTACCCAAAATGCATAGGCATAATCTACTGCTATGTGTTTTTCATCTTTGGGTTAAATCAACCCATGGAATCTTCAAGATAGGTTGGTTTCCCCATCAGAATGCCCTGAAAAAATCACCACATCATATCTAATTTCACAAAAAAAAACATTAACATATAACATCATATATACTTCATTCTATTTCATGACTTACCCCTTAATTTGCAATGATTGTCCCATCATATCCTCATAGTTTCAATCAGTTTTACCTGTCGATTTTCGATGCTTGAGCCAGGGGGTTGGTAGGGTTACCTTGTGGTAATTTAACATAGCTATTGAAAATGGCCATAGAAATAGTTGATTTACCCATTCACAGTGGTGCTTTTCAATAGCTATGTTCTATTACCAGAGGGTAAGTGAAATCATCATTAATCACCATTATTGACCATCATTAATCATGATTAACCATCATTAAATCGCCATGAATCAATGTTAATCAATGTTAATCACTGGTTATCATAAACATTCCCAGCTACTAACCACTGAACCATTACCCTCTTTTTAATTAACATAACTATGGAAAGATCCTCCATTTTTTTTAATGGGTAAATCAAGTATTTCGACTCGGCTATTTTCAATAGCAAACTGTTGACATCACCAGAGGGGAAGTGAAATCACCATTGATCACCATTAATCAGCACTATTGACCAGCACTATTCACCATCCCTTCACAATCTATTAACCATGATAAATATCCCATTAATCAATGGGTAAATCAGCCTGAAGTTGGAGGTTCTTCAGCCTGAAGTTGGACGACTGCCTGGTGGACGGCTTCGCCACGGCACGCATTCCCCCGAGGCCACTGACCCTGCCGCAGCCCCATGAGGCGCGGCCGGGGATCTCGACATAGATATTTATACATATATGCATATGTAGAGAGAGAGAGAGAGAAATAGATAGATAGATAGATCGATAGATAGATAGATAGATAGAGATATGGATATGAATTTGGATATAGATATGGATATGGATATAATATATATATATACATACATGTAGATTTGTAGGTTTTGCAATTCTTCAGCTGACTTCATTGGGAAAACAAAACACCTGTGCCACGCGTGTCGCAGGAACCCTTCTACGGCATTGCAGCATCTCGTTGGCTGGGTGGGATAGGGATCACATTTTTTTAAGGGGGAACCCCTGACCCTTAATCAGTACTTTGTCAACCAGGTAACAAAAAAAACTGGGGTTGGCATTAAGGGCCTTGGTGACCACAGATGATTTTTAAGGTACTTGGTGACCACAGTTTGAGGACCTGAAACCTGAAAGAATTCCAATTTTGGGGGGACAGTCTACCTGATGGTCACGTTTCCATCCATCTATACTGCTCCCCGAGTTTCTAGTTCGAAATTCAACCATGAGTGTTTTATAAATATATATATATATATATGTAATATATAATATAATGTGTATATATATATATGATATAATGTGTATATATAATATAGTGTATAATATATATATATATTGTTATATGTTTTTTATTGCTCATGGTGATCTAGATGAGTTTTCATCCCTTCATGTTCGATGGTTGTCCCCCAACGTTCCTGAGGTGGAAAGGATCATCGATTTGGACAATGGCAGTCGCATGCGCCCTGGGCGCCCTGTCGCTGGGGAGTCCCGTAAAAGGTTTATCCTGTTAAATGGGTGATCCCATTGTTACTGGTTGGTTGCTGGTTAGTTTCTGTAAGCCCCCTGGCAGGAAGTCCCATGGTTCATGATGCTACAAAGTGACATCAGGTTGATCCAAGTTGGATTCCGTTACAGGGGGAGCACTGGGAACTAACCGAGCTGCGGTCTCAGTTTGAGGTGATCATGGAACCCACGGCTGTCCCACTTTTAGTCAGCAAGTGACCGTGTGATTACATGTGATTACCAGGTTACCATCCGCCTGAAAAATAATTGTCCTTATGCCACAAAGGGGTTCTGGGTCTTTTCTTTTGTGGGGGCCCTGACGATATTCTGTTCCATTCCCTTATTCCTACGAGTAGGCCCAAGGTCAAGAAATGAGATATGCTAATCTATAGTAGTATACCGCAGTATAGCCCCAAAATCCCTCAAATGTGTAATTCTATATAATTGAAAAAACTATGAATGGGCAATTTTCTAATAATTAGCTATGTGTCACACTACCATGTTACAGTCTTGGCCGAAGGTTGAAAAAACTATGACACAAAATCATCTTATTTATGGCACTCGTTGTCCAAAATCAGACCCACTGGCTGCTGTTTCCACGTGTGGCACGGTGCCTCGACACGCCAGATACCTCGGTGATGCAGAGACAGGGACAGGCATGGTGCATGTTGGAGCTGATGGTGGGGGGTCCCAACATGGCTCTGGCTGAGCAACAGCCCGCGGTTGATGAGTCGTTGGTGATTTAGCCATCAAAGATATGGGGATAGTTGGTGCATAGTTGATGCATAGTTGATGCATGATGGTTGAATTATTTTTTATCCCCCAGCCTGGCTTTCCCCTTTTTTCAATTGGGACACCTTAACGGTTTTCCATGGGTGTATTGGCAAGGGGATCAAGATCTATAGGAGTTGATATAAACCCTGGTTGAACCAGGGGATTCTGATAGCGGATGGCAACCATCGGGATGACAGAGGATTAACCATGTTCATTTGAGTCATTAAAACATACCAAATCTGGTTGGTCGTTTGGAACATGGCTTTTATGACTTTCCAGAAATCTTGGGAATGTCATCATCCCAACTGACTTTCATATTTTTCAGAGGGGTTGAAACCGCCAACCAGAAATTGTTGCTTGGTTATAGAGGGATGTCACTACCAAATAGGGCCAAACACCAGCAATGGAGATAGAATCAATAGATGATGGTTGGTTGTAACATGTGGGCTATATCACTTGGATAAAGTATGGATTGCTAAACTGCTCAACAGTACCTCACAATGGAAATCCCCTTTGACCACCCAGTACCCCAGTACAAATCGGATGGGATAGGGGTATTTCTTGAGGCTCATGTGGGGAACAAAAAGGATAGATGTTTAGTACCCAGGTTAAAGCGATTGGAATATGCATGATGATCAACCTCAAAGATAAGTAAACTAAGCAAACAAAGTAAATTTAGTCGTTTCAAAAATATGTCATGTGTAAACCCCGCCAATTAAATCCCAATTGTGGACGGTTTGTACCAGCCATTGATACCATGGCATTTGGTGAATCCCACATTGCACAGTTCTTTGTCTCTCGAAGTCAAACGGCTGAAACAGCTATGGAGCAGCTGAAACAGCTGATGATTTGCATTAGTACTATTAAACCATGATAACTAGGATGGATGGTATTAGTACTAATGCATGATCACATGATTACAATCCACAATAAGTACCACAGTGCAACTTAAATTGATTAATGCAGCTCACAGTGCATGACAATCATAATTGGTATAGGCCTTGCCCATATTCCAGTACATGAACCCCAGACCATGTCAATGCCACCAACCATCTGAGAAAAAAAATGAGAACTGTTGTACAAAAGCATGTCCACATGATTACTCAAACATGTCCACATGTGTTTTCTGTTTGTTTGAAGGGTTCCTATAATTCATCTCCTTTTCATGGGTGATTTCCAGCTTAGATTCTGCAGCTTCAGGTCAGCTGCTGATGTGGAGCGATGACTGTGAAGATCATGGTGTGGTCCTGAAACTACTCAGTTGTTTTTTGTTGTCACCCGAGCACTCTTGATTATGTGTTACCTTATGATACACTAACACAGCAATGGAGAATCACAATATCGGTACATAAATCAACTGTTTCTATGACCATGTTCAATAGCTATGTTGGTTCATCATGTTTAATCATGATATTTACTTTGGTTAGTAGGGGAAAGGATCTGTGGATAAACCCACATCCCCCAACTATGGTTGGTTAATGTTCGGTATATCTTAGTCCCTAGTGCGAAGCGTGGATAAATCAACCCGGGCTGATTAATTAGGTGGTACCCCCCCAGGATAGTGATAAATTGAAAAATCGCTACTAAAATGGTAGCTCCCAATGATCCACAGCCCAGGAATTTATTCATCCGTGGTTGACACTAGATGGGCGATGGGGTGGTTTGTTAGGGGCCATGCAATGTTTTACTTAGTGTATGATATCGTATGCAAGTATCTATATTAGATAGCTGGGTTTGCCTATGGCAACCAACCACAAGGGGTGTTGTGTTGGGGGATTGATATGAACAACTGACAACATGATTGATGATGAAGCATTCTTAGCAGACACCAACGGGCATTTGATCTTAAATATATTTTGTGTGTTTTGCTGTAGGATGGCGTGTCATGTATTGCTGTCAGGGTGTATGTTCCCCTATATAAGCCATAGATCATCGCCCCGTCTCACCGAGAGCCACCTCTCCGGTTTCCCCAGCGATGATACCAGAGAGTATCCATCTTTTTTCTGATACCCGGTGGCAATTGTACGGAGCTATGGAAAATCAAAGTAAGTTTAATAGGTAACTCATCTATAAATCATCTTTTCAATGGATTGGTTTCAGGGAAATTTTACAGGAAACCATAGATTTTCCCATTAAATATCGGGCTTTCCTGCAAATTTTCCCTTAAACCAATCCATTGATCTTTAAATCCTAGCTATAATATGGACACTTTTCCCTAGCTCACCGGAGGGTAACCAGCTGGATCACTCGGCCACCCCGCCGGTAACTCAGCTGTTGGCTCGTCTCGTTGGCGTGGGACGTTGGCGCAAGCGACGAGGCGCCGGGTGAATGCTTCATGCGTAATGAGTATACCCTCTGGTAAACTAACATAGCTATTGAAAATAGCCATTTATAGTGGATTTACCCATTAACATGGTGATTTTCCATAGTTATGTTAGTTTACCAGAGGGTAACCCAGCAATGGAATGGTTATAATTATCATTCTATGGTATATTTGAAATTAGGTTAATCACTAATGGCTGGGTGAATGATTAATATATTAATGATGTAACCATTCCATGTTTTTTTCACCATTCCCTGATAATGATAATGAGTCAATGAATGATGTATAAGTATAATATATATAATATATGGTTAATGTTGAATGTGAATCATTGATACTAATGAGTCAACCTAGGTTAATTGAGGCATAGGTTTCATTCCATGACTGTGTCACAAGAATAGTCATATAAGATATATCACTATAATACTATTCCAGTAATTGTTACATGAAGAATCATCAAATCTTCTAGTCAATCAATGTTCAAATAAGAATAATCTACTCCAAATATCTCCAAATGCACAAGAACCAGGTTCTTTTTGCAGGTTTTTTTTTCAGCACTTGGCGTGGAAGTTGGGGATTTCCCAGCGGGAAATCCCCTTAAATAGAGGTTTCAAGATGATAAACCTTGCCTTATGACCTGGCCAAATATTGTTTTGATCGCATGTGAAACCACCATGGTCTGTACAAAAATTTAAGTACTTCACCATTTTTTCCACCGTACTTCACAAGGTTTCAAAAAAAATTGCTCACCATGGTTTAGTCAAGTGAAAAAACCGGCATGTTCTCAGTTTGTTTCAACATTTGAAACCACCATGCGTTCACTGCCACAGGTCATGGCAGAGGCGGCCAAGGCGAAACCCGAAGCGAAAGCAGCGGTGGCCAAGAAGCCACGCTTAGAGCCTTGGTTCTGGTGAAATTGCCACCGGTAAAGCAATAGGACCATTCCCACATCTACCATAAATGGGGTGTATCTACCATCAGCATATGGGTGGTTTATTATGGTTTATTTGTATTTTAGTTAATATGAGTCTCTTATATAATATATATATATAAACATAACAATGTTTTTGTTAAAACATGTTTTACCCAATGAATCCTGGTTTTGTGGTCATAGTTGATCGGATTTTATTGGATATCTAGCAAATCAACTTCATATGACTTCATGTGTTGGGTCTGAAAATGTGGCATACCTCCAGTAATGGTTACAAACAAGACGCTTCAAATGATGGTTCTTTGTCCATATGGAACACCCCGAGATGGAATGGGATTGGTCCCTTGACGGGATGGTGGAGTTAATTCATATAGCTATTTGATGGTCGCTATATTTTTGGTAGCTAACATGAAAATTAACATTAACATTAACATTGTCATACATTAACTACCCTTTTGGGATCCACATTTTGTTCAAGCTTTACAAATCGCGAAAACTTTCGAGGGTTACAACGTGGCTGGATGTGGTGCGAGGATTGCATCGATGGCTGTCGTTTCGCCTTGGTCTTTCCCATCGTGGTGGCGCACTTCGCCAGGCGACCACGGACGGCGCGTTGTTGAGATGGGCATTGTTAGATGGGAAAAGCTATGAAAACCTTCATTCAAGTGTGGTATAGACGGTATATCAAATTTTGAGAGAACACATTATATATATATATATACATATATATATACTATATACTGTATATCTATCTATCAATTTGAGAGAACAAGAACAAACCTGAATGGAACAGTCATTGTCTTGTCAAAAAAAATATGTTTGTTGCGCGTAACTTTGCCATATCGTTTGTTGGGCCTCAAAAAACTACCCCACCATGCGGTTTATGGTTTCTAGTACCCTCTGGTTATTTAACATAGCCATGGAAAATTGTCCATTTTTAGATGGTTTACCTATTAAAAATGGTGATTTTCCATGGCAAACTGTTAAATAACCAGAGGGTACGTCTTATCCCCAGCTCAATGACCGTCCCTTTTTTTTTCAGGCCTCGCAAGCGCCGAAAATTGATAGAACAGGTGAAGTGCACCAGAATTCGAGAGTCGGATGTTATGTTTCTTATTTTTTTCTGGAGGTGTTATAGAACGCAAAAAAAAATGGGGTTGTAGTTTGGGGTCTTTGAATGTGAAGAACTACTACAATGTGAGGCCCCCCAGTTATAAGTTGGTTTGTAAGCCCCAGTAACTATAGTTATAAGTACCATAAACCATAGTTATTGGAGTTATAAACCAACTTAGCTATCTTGGGGGCCTCACATTGTAGGTAGAATGGCAGAATTATCGTTCAATATGATTCGACTACAGCCATTGAATAGACATTTCAATTTATCAAACACATAGTTATGGCCAACCATGATTTGCGCACGGCCCAAACTGCAAATCAACTGAGCACAATCGCGCAATCGCGCGGTCTTTGGATCTATAGGGGACTGTGTTATGGTATTGAAACTTACCGAAATGACAAAGAAAAGACCGTGAATGATTCCAAACCCACAAGCCACAACAAGTATTTGCAGGATGTTCAGAAGGGCGCTATTAACACCGGTCAATTCATATCTTCATCTGGTAGTAATTCAACATTTTGAAAAAAATAATGTCCAAGATGATCTTCCATGAAAACATGGAACTTACGATACTATAGGAAAACAAAAGTAACACCATATTATGAAACCAACCGTTAAAAACCACCGGTTGTTTTCTCCATCTGGTCATTTTTGAGGTTCGGCACGAGCAACCTCACGGCGTTGAAGCTCCTCACGCAGGACGGACGGGTGACCCGGGTCACCGGCCACGGTCATCCCGGAATGGTGACCGGAACAAATCATTAAGTGGCGAGTTGTTGAAAAAGACTCCTATGGGTTAATGATTGCTGTATTCCATCATATATTCCAAGAACATATCTGGTAGAATTATGGATATAACATGATATAACAATTATATACATAGGAATGGTGTAGAACAAATCATATACATCAAATATTCCCATGGGTTGGATCAAACAATTGACATATTTATATTATGGAATATATATATATATATTTGATGGATAATCCTTTTTTTGGATCCCCCTAATATAAATCCATATATTTTCTGTACGTTGACCATGGCACTCTCCATGGGTCCCACGGCAGAGCTCGTGATACGAACCATTCACCCTCTTGAATCCTGATGAAACCGCCACCAAATTTCTGATATTTGTGGTGAAAAATCTGATGTTTGTTGCTAAGACACCATCGGAACTTACTTATGTTGCTAAGACACCATATATATATATATATGTTTTATCCTGGTCGATCTATTTTTTGCTGGGTGAATCCATCATTTTCGAGCACCTTCAGCGGAATCCCCGGGCCGTTTCAACGGCAGGAGAACGTCTTGGTGGGCGGCTTCTTCGTAATCAGCGGCTACGTGAGCGCCTACACCTCCACCAAACTGGGCGCGCGAGGCGTTGAGGAGAAGAAAGTGGCCAACCCGGAACTCTTCTTCTGGCAGAGGGTCACTTGGCGAATGGTCGGATCGATCTGGGATCTAAAAAATCCTGGGGCGAACTGGGCATCTTCAATTCCCCATTTCACCATTCATTTCTTCATTTTATAGGCTGGTACTTCTGGATCTTCATTTATGGATCTTCATCAGTATGGTTTGTATGGTGTCGTCGCTGGGAAATCCCCATGATTTTCCACTGGGATGCATGGTTTTAACGGATTTGTTTAAGATCTACAGTTGAAACATGTTGAACCCATGGATTCCACTCGCAGATCTTCCAGATTTCCTTGTAAAATGCCCAATAAGAACCAATTCTGAGATTGGATGGGGAAATTTTGGCCAAGGAGGGGCGAAAATGAAAATGGTGTGTTGTTCTTCCTACAGATAGATGCAGTAAGATACCAAACCTATATGCCTCAGACCATCTCAGACTCCTTGTTTTTGGTTACACGGGGACTCAGGGCCCCTGATAATTTGCACATGTTTATGCTTTGTACATGCGTCTCATACACTGATGTTGTTTTACATGAAGATGTGGTTCATTTTGTTCTTGTGACATGGAGATGTTCGACCAGGTCCTCTATGGTTCATCTTCATTGAAGTGACATAGGTGTTGATACGCTGGGTGGTGGTTGGGGGGTTTTCGGGTGGGTGGGCGGGGGGGTGTGATAACGTTCTTGATAGTACGCTCTTCATGGTTTATCTTCATTGAAGTGACATAGATGTTGATACGCTGTGCACTTGTGGTGCTACGTGAGCTGATATGTTTACTTATGGTTCATGTACATGAAGCGACATAGGTGTTGATACGCTATGCATTTGTGGTGGTACGTGAGTTGATATGTTTGCTTATGGTTCATCTTCATTGAAGAGAGATAGGTGTTGATACGCTGTGCACTTGTGGTGGTACGTGAGTTGATATGCTTGCTTATGGTTCATGTACATGAAGTGACATAGGTGTTGATACACTGTGCACTTGTGGTGGTACGTGAGTTGATTTGTTTGCTCATGGTTCATGCACATGAAGTGACATAGGTGTTGATACGCTGTGCACTTGTGGTGGCACGTGAGTTGATATGTTTGCTCATGGTTCATGTACATGACGCGACATAGGTGTTGATACGCTATGCACTTGTGGTGGTACGTGAGTTGATATGCTTGCTTATGGTTCATGTACATGAAGTGACATAGGTGTTGATACGCTGTGCACTTTTGGTGGTACGTGAGTTGATTTGTTTGCTCATGGTCCATGTACATGAAGTGACTTAGATGTTGATTCGCTATGCATTTGTGGTGGTGTACGTGAGTTGATATGTTTGCTTATGGTTCATGTACATGAAGCGACATAGGTGTTGATACGCTGTGCACTTGTGGTGGTACGTGGGTTGATATGTTTGCTTATGGTTCATGTACATGAAACGACATAGGTGTTGATACGCTGTGCACGTGCGGTGGCACGTGACTTGATATGCTTGCTTATGGTTCATGTACATGAAGCGACATAGGTGTTGATATGCTATGCATTTGTGGTGGTACGTAAGTGGATATGCTTTCTTATGGTTCATGTAAATGAAGCGACATAGGTGTTGATACGCCGTGCACTTGTGGTGGTACGTGAATTGATATGCTTGCTTATGGTTCATGAAGTGACATAGGTGTTGATACGCTATGCATTTGTGGTGGTACGTGAGTTGATATGTTTCCCTATGGTTCATGTACATGAAGCGACATAGGTGCTGATACGCTGTGCACGTGTGGTGGTACGTGATTGGATATGTTTGCTTATGGTTCATGTACATGAAGTGACATAGGTGTTGATACGCTGTGCACTTGTGGTGGTACGTGAGTTGATATGTTTACTCATGGTTCATGTACATGAAGTGACATAGGTGTTGATACGCTGTGCACTTGTGGTGGTACGTGAATTGATATGCTTGCTCATGGTTCATGTACATGAAGTGACATTGGTGTTGATATGCTATGCATTTTTGGTGGCACATGAGTTGATATGCTTGCTTATGGTTCATGAAGTGACATAGGTGTTGATATGCTATGCACTTGTGGTGGTACGTGACTCGATATGCTTGCTTATGGTTCATGTACATGAAGCGACATAGGTGTTGATACGCTGTGCACTTGTGGTGGTACGTGAGTTGATATGCTTGCTTATGGTTCATGAAGTGACATAGGTGTTGATACGCTATGCACTTGTGGTGGCACGTGAGTTGATATGCTTGCTTATGGTTCATGTACATGAAGCGACATAGGTGTTGATACGCTGTGCACTTGTGGTGGTACGTGTGTGGATATGTTTTCTTATGGTTCATGTACATGAAGCGACATAGGTGTTGATACGCTGTGCACTTGTGGTGGTACGTGGGTGGATATGCGTGCTTATGTTTCATGTACATTAAGTGACATAGGTGTTGATACGCTATGCTTTTGTGGTTGTACGTCAGTTGATATGTTTCCCTATGGTTCATGTACATGAAGTGACATAGGTGTTGATACGCTGTGCACTTGTGGTGGTACGTGAGTGGATATGTTTGCTTATGGTTCATGTACATGAAGCTACATAGGTGTTGATACGCTGTGCACTTGTGGTGGTACGTGGGTGGATATGCGTGCTTGTGTTTCATGTACATTAAGTGACATAGGTGTTGATACGCTATGCTTTTGTGGTGGTACGTCAGTTGATATGTTTCCCTATGGTTCATGTACATGAAGCGACATAGGTGTTGATACGCCGTGCAATTGTGGTGGTACGTGAATTGATATGCTTGCTTATGGTTCATGATGAAGAGAGATAGGTGTTGATACGCTGTGCAATTGTGGTGGTACGTGAGTTGATATGCTTGCTTATGGTTCATGAAGTGACATAGGTGTTGATACGCTGTGCACTTGTGGTGGTACGTGAGTTGATTTGTTTGCTCATGGTTCATGTACATGAAGTGACATTGGTGTTGATACGCTGTGCACTTGTGGTGGTAGGTGTGTTGATATGCTTGCTCATGGTTCATGTACATGAAGTGACATAGGTGTTGATATGCTATGCATTTGTGGTGGTACTTGAGTTGATATGTTTACTTAAGGTTCATGTACATGAAACGAGGACAGAGTAAAGTTGCTGGAACGCAGCAAATTGATAAGCTGTGGACATGTTGCACAGGCTTCATGTGTGGCTGTGTAAAGACACGCACCAATGGCCTGCCCAACCCACAATTGTTCAGCCAAGCATATCAATATCTTTGGAGAAAGAATAATGTCGACAAGGACTTGTTCCAGCTGTTGGCCGCGGAACTGAAAAATTGAGTATAAAGACAAATCTTCTCAAAAAAATAAAGTTTTGGAAATGATGGGGCGCAGAATCCCTTACAAATACCATTGAAAGTGTGTTTAGCCGCCCGTCCTCATGGCATTCCGTGGCCATTTTCAAAGTAGCGGTGTTCACAAAACACTGCGACGGTTGAAAAATCCATTGCACGCTGCTGCTGAAAATGTGAATTTTGTCCGGGGCCCCGAGCCCCCATGTTACCTTGTTTTTGTTTTCTTTCGGTTACAATTTTCAGGTTTTGGTTTTTGAGATGTGACATGTTCCATGGGATTTTTGGTTGCTCTTGGAAAGAATTTGTTTGATGCTTTACTTGGATTTTTAGATCTACCCGCTGACAATCTGACCTGGCAAAGGAAAATTCGCATGTTTATTGTAAAAATGAATTTCTCAATGGAGTTCCATGAACCCATGGGAATGGGGGGATCATCATCAACTTACAACCTGTTCAATGTGCAAACCAGGGTACACGTTTTTTTTGGATATATACAACTCCAAGACAAACGGGAGTGTTTCCCAAAACTGGGTTGTTTTTCACCGTTGCTTTCCTTCTACAAATAATCAAGAACTGGTTTTGTCATAATGTTTTCCCATGAACATTGCCCTTTTATGTGGATTAAATCAACCACTTTCAGGTTCATAACAGCTATTGGATGAGCAGCAGGAAGGTCCCGGTGGCTGAGCATCACAAAAGCGGCTCGGAAGCGACTGAGGTGATGGCGTACTATCCTTTGCACTTCGTCTCGTCTGCTATTTTTGCCCCTATGTGACTCGGATGATGGAGACGGGAATCAACAAAGGTTGGGGGGTCCATAGTCATGGGGGTAACCCTTTATCTCTGGATGGTTGATTTAGTTTATTTCCATGGAAAAATCCCACTAAAATGGATGATCACTGGGGGTAGCCCTATGACTCAGGAAACCACCATTTTAAGCAGTTTTGGATCCCTCGGATCCCTCTACACTGGAATCCCGAACTTGGCAGAAAAATGATCCGTGAATAAAAATGATCTCATTTTTTTTTGGAAGATTGGTGATCTTTGGAATAAATATGATATCAATATATTCACTGGATCATTGGATCAGATGTGAATCTCCAACTGGATCATCCGTTTCTTTTTGGAGTTGGAGTGCAGCATTCCAAGTACCCTCTGATAAACTAACAGTTTGCTATTGAAAATGGCCCAGTCGAAATAGTGGATTTACCCATTGAAAATGGTGATTATCCATAAGTTTTTTGTATGTTTACCAGAGGGTATCATCAAGGATCTTTGCCGGTCACAAGTCACTGAAGTTGGATTTTGGGGGTCAAACTCTGCAGGTCCAAACTCTAGGGACCAAGGTTCATCTGGGTGGAGAGGCAGTTCAACTCCACTTGGAGTCTCGGTGGGCTTTCGGGAATGGCTGGCTGCTGGTTTCACTGCGTTGATTCAAAGAACGCCAGGGCGTTTCGACGTGGTAAACGCCTCAGATTCCACTCAGACTTCAACATACTTCAACATACTTCAACCTTGGTCAAAAAATGAAGCAACAAGTGATATCTCCCAGAGTTTGCGGGCTTTGAATCGGGTCAGTGCCCCAATCTTGGTCAACTTCCCCATTTTGGTGATCCTCGGATGATCCCGGAAGTTCATATTTTTTTTAATTAGTTTGGTAACTGTTGGGAATCGTTTTTTGTTGGGGGATGACCCCCCACTATCAACCACTCCCAGTTGCTCTTGTCCCCCCAGGTATATTATTTACTGCTCTGCTGAGGCTGAGTCAACTGATTTCTTACCACAGTTGTCTACGCATCCCCCGACATTCAACGAATGATTGACCAGAAAAGACTGTACGTATGTATGGTTTGATACTGACCAGAATATCCACGATTTTTCGCACCGGCCTGTCTAATTGTTTCATTATCCATCCTGGCCCAGAAAGTCAACGAAAGTCACCATCCTTGGGGCTCAATTCGGCCATTTTTGGATGGCTTCGCAATGTTGGGCGAGGAATATGATCGCCTTTCGCGCCATGTTGAACTTCACCATGTTGCAGGCAGGCGACCATGGCCAGCTGCAGCTCAGAGCAGATCCTGGTGTGCCACGATGACTTTGTCTCACTGGTGCTTAGCAGGGAATGAGGGAATGATCCATAATCACTATCAATAATCATCCCATTCCCCCAGCAACCCATCCATTCCCTGCGTTTAGCACCAGTAAGTTGTTGAAGCTGTCATGAAACACATGAAAGCTGTTTGAGATCATGATGGTTACACACTAGTGAAATTGGCTGAAATCATCCCAACCATTATTTGATGTCCCATGATGTACCTATCATGTCATATCAAAAATTCGATTGACCCCAACAGATTTAGCAGGTCCCCATCAATCCTACAATTTCGCAAAAGGGACAACCGTATTCATGCATATTGTTTTTGTTCGTTTATGGACCATTCGAAAACAATCGAAAACCAAGGTTTCCCGCGGGAAAACTATTTGGCTTTATCCGAAAATTGGGTAGCCCAATTCGCATCATTCTTCCATGTTTTTGTTCATTCAATATTCACATTGAAATGACCTACCTGACGGATCCTGACGGGGGGGATATCCCCATTTTCAGCCACGCGTGGGCGGCGCCAGGCGTGGTTTCCGAAGGAGGCGGAGATTTGGAATCAGCCCACCTGGCCTCCTGGCGAGATTTGAGGTTCGATGATCGCCATGATTTGGAATGGCAAGGCCTATTAAAAAATGGCAGTGTGTCAAAACCTTGTACCCCTGGTGAACATCAAAATAGCTGGTAAATGGATGTTCATTCCCCTAAAAATGGTATTAATAGGTATTGATCCATACCCAAATGATTGAAAATGGATGATTTGGGGGAGTGTCCATTATTCGGAAACCTCCAATGAGATGCTTGTTCTGTGTTTTTCAGGGTTCGATTGATTTACATGGATTTATATACAACATAACCAACGGAACTCACCAAAGGTTGAAGCAACTTCGCAGGGGAGCAACAAACCAGTAAGTTCACATGGCACCCATAGACCTCTGTTGAAGGCCAGCCAAGTACAGGGTCTTCCCAGTGATCCGCGCGAAGGGTGATGTTTGAATAGGTAAGCTCAGGTTGGAACACTGATGAATGATGGGTCCCTGTATCATCCCTGTATCTTACAATCCCTTTCCCCAAAAAAATGAATACACCTTTGAAAGGAAACCCGGGTTCAGTAGTGGATCTATTCCTTTTGTAGATGTGTGGTCCATGGTTCCGCAAATACATGGATGCGGGTGATAGGTGTTTCTTAAAAGTGTGAGTTATCGGCCATTTTGAATGCGAAAACCGAATAACTCTCCATTAACCAGCTATAACTTTGGGTAATTACCTTGGGTGCCAGGGTTTTGACGAAAATAGCCAGGCAAATCATGTCCAAAAACAACCATTATTAGCCATTATTAGCCATTATTCATCATTGTTCATCACTATTAACCACTATTAAACCATAGTTAACCACAGTTAACCACAGTTAACCATCACTAATCATCACTAATCACTATATATAAACATAAACCATAGTTAACCCAGAAATCCCCAACCAGGTTCCTGTCTGCTCTGACGTTTTCGAACCTCACCATGCCCACCTTCGTGTTGCCCCAAGCGACTTGGACAATTGGAAATCATGGGAACATATGGGACTGCTTGGTGGTTTGGAGCATGTTTTTTTCCATAATATATGGGATAATCCTTCCCATTGACTTTCATATTTTTCAAGATGGTTAAAACCACCAACCAGATGGGAAAATATGGGAAAACTGGGGAAAAATAATATAGGAACACCTTGGAACATATTAGGGAAATTTCCTGATGAATATATGTCTTAATGAGAAAATATGAGAAAAACATGGGTATTAAAGGGGAATTTGCCAGCAAGCCATGTTGGATTATATTATGCTTATCACTGTTCCATTTTGAGTCTTCAAGTTTCCAAGATCATCCATATGTTGAAAAAAAACATGGGTGACAAGGAACGCTTGCAGGATGTTGACTAGTGCAGTCGTCGTCCCCAGGATAAGCCAGGAGAATCAGCAACCGAATTATCCGAATGATCCAATGTGATGCCTATGTTTGTTTGAGTCAAACTCACCAGCTTCACCCGCACTGGTTAGATGTTCACCAGGCTGTTGCTCCATCAGGTAGCACAACTGAGCAAGGGTGGCTTGAACAAGCTCTTCTATGCCTTGACGGGCATCTCCCTTTTGCAAAAGGCGAGGGGGGGCGGGGGACCTGAACTAATGTCATATCAACATGCGGAAGGGACTGCGTCAGTTTGCGGCACGCCCAATGGCTAGTGATCATGTTTAAAGCTCAAAGCATGGAGTTCACCACAATATTTTTACTCCAGACAGTATTTGGACTCATGGTTGTTGGGATTATGTCTGTGTTGTTTCAAGTTTCGTTTGTTTACGATTTTTGTTGGCCCAACTTTGGCCGTGACCACTGGTGTGATTGAATCCCGTTGGAATGGCGATACCACAGTCATCTCAAGCCAAAGCAGCGAGTCTGACGGGTGTCACCAGTTTGCTCCCGGCTGGAACATTTGGATCAACCTGTCTTAATGTTGTGGGGCTTTCCAGGTCTTTCTGATTTTTGTTTAACAACTTAAACATGCACCACTAGCTGGTTCGAAACATCCAGCGGGGGTAAAAAAAACACACTTTTGCAGACGTTTGAGTGACCTTCGTAGTCCTACTATGCTGGAAGCGGTAATGTGGTGTTCATGTACACCAAATGGACGTACGATACGTACAGTATGCCGTGAAATTCAGACTGTTTTTGAAATGTCAAAACCTGACATGGATTGGGCACCTGAAGTTTAGGTATATAATCTGGTTGGTGGTTTGGAACAGGCATGATGGCCCAAACCTCTTACCAGCTAGTGTGCCGGTACGTTCTGAACGGGGGCAGGTAGGACATCTTCGTTGCGCTGTTTTGATTTCATGGCTTTGGACTTCCCACCTTGTTTTGCAGACTGTCAATCTGGTCAGCGTTTGTCTATGGTTGCGAAATTACAATGTTGGGACTTTGATCAAGAGGCTCACCTGATGGAAACTGTTCATGCTGGAATTCCTTTTCTTGCCACTTGACTACTTGATGGTGTTGGGGAATGTTTCTCTTTGGTCAATGCTGAGTTCCGCAAGCAATTTCCAATCCCAGTCATTGCTATTGATAGCTTCACAAAGGTTTTGCGACATGACCGTCCTTCATGGACGTCCTTGCATGATGTGGTTGAATTGTGCTCCGGCTTCGGGGGCATGCATCAGGGACTTTGTGCTATGGGATTCAGGACTGTGGCAGCGGTGGATTGCAATGAAAGATTCCTGGATTTGTATGCCAAACAAGGTGATGCTGCTAGGATCGTAGGTGATGTGAATGATGTCTCCACGCTCATGAAGATTTGGCAGGTGTCAAAGGGTGCCTGCACAATTGCGGCAGGATTCGCATGCCAACCTTTCTCACGTCTCGGGGATCAATTAGGAGGACTTGATTCCCGTGCCATGTGTTTAAGGGGAATCTTGGTTAGTGCTTTCTTGCTCCAAGCCAATGCTGTCATTCTCGAATGTGTTCAGCCAGCTGCTGAGAATTCCTTCGTCACCAATGAGATCCGCAGGTTCCTTGGTTTCTGGATATCATTGTTCACAGTGTGATCTTAGCTTGCTTGACGTTTGGCCAGCCCGTAGAAACCGTGCATGGTGGTTGATCACATCACCAATTTTTGGGTAAGATTCCATTGCATGCCTGGCCCAAGCTTCAAATTGCCACGAAGGTACGTCAGTTGATCCCAGCCTTGCAGCCGTGGGATGCCAATGATGAAGATGAGTTGTCTCTCAGTGATGTTGAGAAGTCTGCCTTTGGTGTTTTGAATGATTCATTCCATAGGTATCTTCTTAACTTTGAAGCTAGCGCACCTTGCGCATTGCATTCATGGGGGTCTCAAATGATTGGTTGCAAGTGCGGTTGTAGGCAGAGTGGACTTTCTGAAAAGCGACTTAGGGACAAAGGCCTGTTTGGTTGCATTGTCTACTCCTGTGGAACAGACTCCAAGCAAAGCCTGATTAGGCATGTCCATCCCAATGAGGTGATGATGATGTGTGGGTTTGATCCTCTTTATGATTTTGGCCCCAATCCTCGGTTGACGTTGGCTGCGGCAGGACAGATGGCATCGCCAATTCAGACTGCCTGGGTTTTTGCGACCTTGGATGAACGCATTCAGCAGCTTCATGGTACACCATCCCAGTTTCAAGCAGATGCTCAAGTAACCGCATTTTGCACCTGGCTCTTGATGAGGGGTAGGCAAGTGTGGCCGGCAGATGTTGAACCAATTGAAGCCAAGAACATTGCTTCCTTGTTGGGGTTTTGGGATGAAGTGTCTTCCTTGTCAATGCCTGAGCTGATGTTTCCTGGACGATGGCCTATGTTGGGAGACCATCAGATCTCTATTGCATCCGTACTTGACCTTCTGATCCGAAAGCATCAAGCTGTGACATCTCCGCCAATTTGCAAGGGAATCTCTGCAGGTGATGATGTTGCCATGACTGCCATGGATGATGATGGGAATGAGTTTGAACCGACTCCTTGGCATGAAGGTGACTCCCCGATTGATGAAATGGTTTTGCCATGTTGCTCCCAAGAAGGGTGTGTTGTGGTATTTTTGCATGAGTTTGCGAATCCCCTTGAAATCCGTGTTTCTTTGGGGGTTACCATTCAGCAGCTGATTCATGCTCAGTGCCAGTTGGTAGGACCATTTCAGGTAACTCGTATCTGTGACCACTTAGGTACCCCCCTTTCCCAGGAACACGTTCTTGCTGCCGGCCAGATCGTTTTGCTTCATTGTGAATTTGAAAGCCATGAGCCAACCATTTTGCCAGCACCGCCTGCATCCGATGCATCCGTTGTCCCTGTGTCCCCGTCCAATGTTGGTGATGAGCCTGTCCCACATGTCCAGCCGTGTCCTGTCCCAGGTCATGAAGTCAGTCCCACTGTCGCTTGGACTCATCCAATTTGTGACGATGATTCGATTGAACCGGGTTCTTTTGGTCCATTTGATGCTGGTCAGTGTGATGTCCCTGTCATTCGTCTGCCTGACTGTGAATCATGGGTATCTGCCGCGCCTTTGCTTGGTCTGAAGGGCCAACAATTCCTGAAGCTGCATGTTCCTGTTGTGCAAAGCACTACACAGTTGTGGTCATTGAAACACCAATTTCTACAGGCTGCTGATAGGTCAGCCATTCTGACCCTGCAAGAAGCTGTCTGGTCAGATGATGAAATCCGCCACCACATTGGATTGTTGTTGGAGATTCGGAATGCCAAGCGTTTCTCTGGCATCCAAGCTTCCGATCGAGATTGCATTATGCTTGATCCCTTGTTGCTCACAGGCTGGGTCCAACATGGTACCAATCTTTGCCATTTATGGGCTCATACGCATCCGGAAATTCGCAATGAAGGCAAGATTGTGCTCTCTGCATGTGCTGTGGATGGACATTGGGTCCCGGTTGTTTTCTCTCCCAGTGGGAATGTTCTGCATGTCGCTACTTGGGATGCACCATGTCATTCCCATGTCAAGCTTGATGGTGTGATTGGTGCTCTGGGGAAGCTGTTGGGTTTTGATGAGGTCTCCATTCTGCGCCATCAGAGAATGTTTTTCACAACAGACAAGTGTGGAGCGCTGGCCATTGCCTTCCTGCATCATTCGGTCCTTGGTTCCATGTTGCCTTCCAATGGTGATGAAGCTGATTTGCTTCATGGAAGTTTGCGGACCACCTATTAAAATGCTGTTGAAAGCTGTCAGATTGCCAGACGTCCGTGGATTTGGGGGATGGGTGACAAAGACCCTGAAAAGTTTTGGAATGAGCCCGGGGTTTCTTCCTCAGACACGCCGTGCCCTGTGCAACCATCCATTGCAGACTCGTCGCACCAATGCATTGATAAAGACCAAAGGATTGACTTGCTTGTTCAGAAGGGTAAAATGTGGGGAGATGATGAAATCAGGTTTCACCTTACTCACATGCTGATGCACCCCAACAATGTTGCGAACCTTCCTTACTCTGTCATTCCGGGATTTGTCATGTTGGATCCCCTGATCTTGACCACCTGGGATACCATTGGACAGACATTGTGTGAAGCTTGGTGTCGACGTCACATGGTAGTTTCTGACTCTGGATTTCACGTGGTTGCTGCTTTTGTTCACAATGAGCACTGGTTTCCTTTTTGGGTGGTCCCACATGGCCGAACTATTGTTGCACATGTCATTGAGGATGGGGTGGTTGATTTCCAGGTGGTCATGCCTCTTCTTGCGGTTTTGAAAGAACAGTTCGGGTTTCATGAGATGGTTTTGAATAAGCACCCCAATCGCCTCCCAGAGCATTCATTGTGTGGTGCTGCCACGGTAGCTTTCCTTGGCCACATCATGGTGTCTGCAGAATTGCCCGATGACCTTGAGGCCCTGCGTGATTATCATGCCAACATGAAAGCCAGTTTTGTGCAAGCGATTCATGCCGGTCAATGTTGCATATGTCCTGTTGCCTGGGGAGCTGGTAGTGTCCCTTCCCTGACCAAGCAATTGGCTGAGGAACTTTCCAAGCATGGAGTGCCTGATGAATGTATTGAGCAAAGAGCAAATCAGGCCATCAAGGCCTTGGGGGCTGAGCAGGTGCAAAAAGCATTGTCGTCTCGCAATGTGTGGAGGTCGCTGAAAGCGATCGGGAACAATGCGAAGTTTCAATTTCTGCTGCCTGAGGAACTTTCGGTATTGGTTGCAAGCAACAAATCGTTGCCAACTGGTCGTCGAGCCAAACTCCCTCAAATCAACAGCAGACCCAGTGTTCCTGTTGTGGTTGATCCCAGCAAACTTTCGATTCCTGATGGTGTCTTCCATGCAAATGAGGTGAGTATTCCGCAGATTTCAGTGAAGCAGCTTGGTCCTTTTGCGGAGGGAGTGGCGCTCATCACCATGGAAGAAGCTCTCCCGTACCTTCGGGCGGGCAAACAAGTTTCCAAGGAACCTTTGGCGATTGCAGTGTTCTGTCAGGTTGGTCAGGATGTTGACACGGTGCTGCCCCACTCTCGTGTCATGATTCCATGCATGTGCCTTGCCAATAATGAGCCTATCTTGACTGAAGCGGTGATTGTTCAGCTGGGTCATGGTTTCATTGAGAAGAGGGTTGTTCCCACAGCTATCACCCTCGATCAGCTTGATGTTGTCACAGTC